ATCGGCAACCTCCTCAGGATGCCTGGGCAGGCAGTGCATGAAGCTCCAGTTGTCCTTGGCGCCACCTCGTTTCGCCAGCTCAGATGTGATCTGGAAGCCCGAGAAGGCTTTCAGGCGTTTGGCGGTTTCCTCTTCCTGGCCCATGGACACCCAGGTATCTGTTACGAGGATGTCGGCGTTCTTGATGGCTTCTTCGGGTGTGTTTGTTTCGAGGAGTTTGCCCGGGTGGGGAGAGGTTTGCGCAGCGTGAGAGATGACTTCGCGCATTGCTTGGGGGATCTCGTAGCCAGCGGGGGTTGCGACGGCAATGTCGATGCCAAGTTTTGTTGCGCCGATGGCTAGATCGAAGAGGACGTTGTTGGCATCTCCTATCCACGCGATCTTCAGACCTTCGAGACCGAGGGAGGTGGAGGACGTGGAAGGGTAGATTTCGGCCATGGTGAGCAGGTCGGCGATGATCTGGAGGGGGTGGTAGAGGTCGGAGAGTGCGTTGATGACGGGCACGCTCGAGTGCTTCGCCAGGTCGGCTACTTCGGAGTGGGGGCCTACGCGGGCTACGATGGCGGCGGTCATGCTGGAGAGGACGAGCGAGGTGTCGTAGAGAGACTCGTTGACCTGGAATGTTATGTCAGCGGGCTTTCGGGATGCGGAAGAAACGTTCATACACCCAGTTGGATATCGTCCTTGCCGAGGAACATGGGAGAGCCTCCAAATGCCGCGATGGCGCCTTCTGTTGATACCCTCGTACGCGTGCTCCGTTTGCTGAAGGTCATTGCGACGGTCCTGCCTGCCAATGCCCCGCGCATCGAGTGCGGCACCTCGCCTGTCTGCTTGATGGTCGTCTTGTGCTGGTGTGCATTTTGGACGAGTGTGGTCAGCTCAGCAGGCGTGAGGTCTGCTATAGAGAGGAGATGTCGGGGTGCGAATGGCGATGTCGGAGGTGTCGCTGGTGAGGAAGAGTAGCAGCGGCGCAAGCTCCGCAGAGCAGCGGGCGAGGGACGGAAAGCGGGCATGCTGCTTCAATGGCGTGCCTGAATCTATATGGAGTGAATGAAAGAATTTATAGACTGTCAACAGCAGGCAATTGAGTCACACGCCCTGGCCTGTCTGCAGTGAATTATTGTGAAAGCGCACTAAGAGGGTGACGCATGTTTGTGGAGACGCTGGGGTCGGGGCTAGCGGCCGCGGCAGGCACGGGCACACGTCGCTCCTGGGCGTCTTATCCGGCCCAGGCAGTGGCTGAGTTCATGACGAGACGATGAACAACATCCACCACCGCCCGTCAACCGCCCTGTTTCCTTTCTTCCTTTCACCTCGACCCGCTCCATCTCTCCGCATGTCATGTCCCTCGCTTGGACCCCCCTCCGTCTGAAGATGGACAACCCCGAAGAGGAGCAGTGGGGCTCCGCCGCCAACACCCGCAACTCTAGTTCGCGCCCGGCCTCGCACAAGTCCGCCCGCTCGTCGCGCTCAGCACACTCGCAGCAGTCCAGTCGCACCACCGAACAGACGCCGCTCCTGTCGCAGGAAGACCGCGATGAGCGCGAAAGACCAGACGACGAGGAAGCCACGCCTGCGACACGCTCGTTGCTGCGCTCGCTCAGTGGCTCCTCAGATAAGAGTGGCAGTGGCAAAGTCCCGCTGTGGAAGAAGCGATGGCCGAGCATACTGGCGCTCATCCTGCTATGTCTGCTCGTCGTCTTCATCATGCTCGGCTTCCTCGCCAAGGAAAGCATCGAGGAGTACTCGATGCAGGCCGCTGACTTTAAGCCCACCAAGCTTTCCATGGATGGCTTGACGGACCACGGCGCGAAGGTGCACATAGAAGGCGACTTCACAATGGACGCGAACAAAGTGAAGAAGCAGAGCGTGCGCAACCTCGGCCGCTTCGGCACCTGGATTGCGAGGGAGGCTGAGACGGGGCCCTTTGATGCCGACGTCTACCTGCCCGAGTACGGCAACGTCTTGATTGGCACGGCCAAGATACCTGGGTTGAAGGTAAACATCAGGAACGGCCACACGACCCATGTCTCGTTCATTGCGACCGTCCAGCCTGGTTCGCCCGACGGTATCCGCAGCGTCGCCAACGACTGGATCGATGGCCGACTGGGGCAGATAAGGCTCAAGGGCAAGGCTTCAGTCCCTCTGAAGTCTGGATTGATCAACATTGGCGAGCAGCTCGTCGAGCAGTCCATGGTTTTCCAGGGTGGCGACATTCCTACTCTTCCTCACTACAACATCACAAAACTCAACCTTGGCGAGGCCAAGCATGGGCAAAAGGGTCTTGGTGCCGATGCCTCTATCGTCGTGCAGAACGACTTCCCTGTTCAGATCACGCTGCCTCCTGTGGCCGTCGACGTGGGCATTGAGGGCTGCTCGGCATCAGATAAGCACATCATGGTCGGAACTGCTCAGACTGGCCAACTCGAAATCAAGCCCAACTCAGACGTCAAGGTCGATGTCACTGGTAATGTCGACAAGCTCTCAGATCGCATGACTGAAGTCTGCCCCAACTCGGCCAAGTCTCCGCTCGACGCCTTCTTGGGTGACTACATGAAGGGCCAGGACGCGACCATCTACATCAACTGCTGCAAGTTCCCGGATCCAGCTACACCTGAATGGGCCCGTGAGCTGCTCAAGGACATTACCGTTCCGGTTCCGTTCGCCGGAAAGTCCATGGGAAGCCTCATCAAGAACTTCTCTCTCGCCGACATGCACTTCAGTCTGCCCAACCCTTTCGCTGAGCCTGGCACACCTGAAGCACGTCCCAAGATCTCTGGAATCGTCAATGTAGATATCGGACTACCTCACGAGATGAACTTCCCCGTTGATGTCACCCAAGTCAAAGCTGATGCAGATATCTACTACCACAAGAAGAAGCTCGGAAAGATGAACTTGGAAAAGTGGCAAAAGGCAAATTCCACTCGCATCGAAGGCCATGGCTCGGAAGGGCCTTCTCTCCTCGTCCAATCCGTTATCAAGAACGCACCCATTGAGATTCTCGACGACGACCTCTTCAGTGAGGTCGTGCAAGCTCTGCTCTTCGGCGGCAAATCAATTCTGATGGACCTCAAGGCTGCGGTCAGCGTTGGCGTGGATACGCCCATGGGCAAACTCGCAGTGCGAGGCATTCCGGCGCAAGGTGTCGTACCAGTCAAACGTTCGTAACCAGTTCGTGATCCAAGTTTGGCCGCGATTCCTGCAATTAGCTAACTTTTGGCGTTCAGCGATTCGTGGCGGCAAAGACGCTCAGCCCGGTGACGGCAAAGACGAGGCGAGCAAGATCAATGTACAGGTTGGCAATCTAGCCATTGTCGAAACTTCGCCCACTTCCCTTACCATCACGGCCCTCGTCAACTTTACGAATCCTTCGAAATACTCCGCTACGGTCCCTTACTTTAACATCAACATCCTAGCCAATGGCTCTCACATTGGCAGTGCGACGGTTAAGGATATGGAAGTTTCTCCTGGTAACAACACGAATAAGCTTGCCTCAGTCCTCTGGGATCCCTACACATACGGTGGCGACAAGGGTAAGAAGATTGGAGCAGAACTACTTTCTCAGTACATCTCAGGTACGTCCTTCACAACCACCACCACTCATCCAATCGCTAACTCAGCCACCAGGCTACAATACCACGATAACTGTGCAAGCTCACGAAAAGTCTGTCCCAGCCGTTCCCTTCATCGGCCGCTTCCTCTCGCAGTTCCCCATCGAACGCCCCATGCCGCACATGTCCACACCCAAGAAACCCGACGACGGCTCCGACCCCTCCAACCCCGACCCAGATGACGACGGTAGATCCCACTTCATCCGCGGCACTACCATGCACCTCATCACCAGCACTGCCGTCTTCACCCTTGCCTCCCCCTTCCGCTCCACCACCATGTACATCACCAGCATGGACGCAACCGCCTACTACGAAGGCCACACCGCGGGCAAGATCGTCTACGACTTGCCTTTTGCTGTTCCGCCTGGCCTATCGGATTCCCCTCGTCTGCCCGTTGATTGGTCGTTTGGTAGTCTTGGGTATGAGGCTATCAAGAGGGCGCTGGGTGGGCAGTTGAAACTCAGTGCTTTTGCGTATGTCGGTGTAAGGATTGGGGAGTGGAGGGAAGATGTTTGGTTCAAGGGTGGGAAGATTGGTGCGAATGTTAGGCTTTGAAGGGTGGTCGTTTGGGAGATGGTATTCGTGTGTATACTTGGATGGGTTGGACTATACACGCCTGGTAGCGTTGGTTGGGTTACATCTGTAAAGGCAGAAACGGCGTTGAGGTTCTCGAAATTGGCTATTATGACGCTCTCGACGTATCAATAAGACATGTTTCTTTTTTGTTCATATTTGTGTTCCGGTTTCTGGGATTTCTTCACTTCAGCAGTGCACCTTCGCGTGGAGTCTTTCGCATTGGGCACGTTGTCTGCATGAACAATCGCTTCTCATTCTGGGCATCATGGCAGCAAGTACCATATATTCCGTTACTACTTCTGCCAGCCAAATGAAAACCCATCTCCTGCCACTAACCAGGCAGCCAGCCATCATTGTAGACATTAAGACTCGTGTCGTATGTGCACCATATCATTCCGATCCTACCAGAGGTTCAACCAGCCCACCATCATTCAGCCCTTTATCCAGCCATCCAGCAACCGTAAGTGCATCCCATCCAGCTGCGTCAAGCAAGACCAAAAACGCCCAGTATGCAATAGTATAAGAAAACTGATCACGACCTCTCCAACACCATGTCCGATATGCAAACCCGAATATGCCCGTCCGCTGTTAATGAAAGAGTGAAATCCGGACAAACGCCGTCGCTAATAGTATGCAAAACAAAACAAAAAAAAAGTCATTCTGGCAGGTACAAGCATAGAAAGCAATAGAGGTAAAAGAGAGAATACGTACGTACATTGCTGTACATCAGCATGACTTGGGGAGGCGAACTCGAAGTCAGAAGTACGTTACGTTCCAATATATTGCCCATCTTCAGGCCCACGCATTGTGAAATCACACACGTCGACTGGTCTGGCTGAGCAAGCGATCAGCCCGCTCGAAGACGTTGAGCGTATTGGAAGGTTGAGAAACGCGAGGCGTGTTTGGAATGGTTGCTTGAGCAGCTGCTCCTAGAGCGGCACTGAGGGGTGTCGCCGGAACTGGTGTGCCGTACCCACCCGAGCCTTGCGACCCGAAGCTTGCATTGGAGTATGGCTGCGCGGAGAAGACAGAAGCCATCGCCGGAATAGACGTGTTGATGGGGCCCGGGAACGAAGGTCCGCCGCTCGAAGACATGGTCCCGTTGGGTTGTTTCATGAACCTAGGTGGTTGGACGCGTGAAGTGATGGACGACAAGCTCGGTGGACCCATCAAACCCGTATTGCTGCTAGTGAGATGTGACCACGGGCTGTCGTTGATAGCCAGAGTGGCTTCCTTGACCATCTTGTGCAGTGGCCGCATAAGCTGTTTGATTTCTCCAGAGAGCAGCTTGTGTTCTCGGCCCTGTTGAGTATACGCTGCGGCAAGTTCCTGCCAAGCCTGAAACAAATGTCAGTCAACATCCAGTTCGCGAAACTTCGATTCGAAACAAAACATGGATCAACATACCCTGATGAAACCCATACATTGCTGCCAGAACTCGGGTTGGTTCCTAGTGTAACTGTCTTTAAGCTGCATCTGTGACAGGCGGGCGGCGAGAGGATTTGTCATCTGCTGGACATCATTGCTCTTATCAATGAGGTTCGCTAGCGCCTTTATTCGGGGATCCTCATTGTCGAGATCGCGGCGCAGACCGTCAAACTGCTCTCGCATCATGCGTGTGATCTGTGGCATGGATTGCCTGCAGCTGTCAGATGCATTTCTGAGTTTCGTGTAGACTCGGTCGAATTGCGCGTCTTCATCTGCTTCGTCGAAACTGCTGGTCAGAGTGTTCGATCGGGTCATGGACGGCGCTAGTGTTGAGAACGACTCTCCAGAACGCGGCGTTGCGGCACTAATGCTCGTCAAAGTGTTCGATCGACTGTTGTCATTGCTGTGCAGTATGACTGGCGGAGGCATCTGATAGCCACCGTTGCGCTGAGGCGGTGATGCCTGGAATCGACGAACTCTCGATGGGCGTGCGCGTACTGTGGCTACTGGGTCGGGATTGCTAGGCTTGCGCGAAGCTGCCGAAGTGTCCTTGAACTGCGCACCCAGAATCGAACAGGCGTTCCTCATTTCGATCATGCTTGCTTGCTGGAGAAACAAGAAAGTCCGCATGATGTGTACATTTGCGTTCTGTGTGATCTCGACGCGATTCTCGGCAATTGAGAGGCTGATGGACATGAACGATTCGAGGCACCTTAGCGCATACATGTACACGCTTCTGGAGAGTTTCTGGGCATCTTCTTCGTCCTCTTCGACCAGCCGGTCAAACTTGTGCAAGACCTCGTTCAGCGCTCGGATGTTCAGGTATGTAGTTGAGTACCTCCGGTAGAAGTCTTCCTTGCGACGCAGGCTTTCTTTCGTCTTGGCCGTCAGCTTGATTGAGCGTACCATGTGTGAGACACAGTCGTGCAGCTGGGAGATAGCATAGAGGAAGTTCTTGGCAGCTTCAACGACAATGTCCGGCGCACGCGAGTTTCGCCTATGCTCTCGTACGTCAGATAGTGGACGGTTCGCGAGGGACCTGACGGTGCCTGTGTCTCCATAAACACCAGCAGTTGCAGGACCTGAAAGGCCATTCGCGGCAGAGTGAGCAGGAACAACAATTCCTTGGCTGAAGCCGCGGAAGTGACTTGTCCGCCGTAGCTCGTCGACGGAACCCAGCTCAGACGTCTTGTTGGTGTATATGCCCATCCGCTTCTGGCGATGCGACGAAGGCCCTGAGCCTTCACTCTGGCTTCGATTGCGCTCGTTGTTCCCGTTTGTCAGGACCAGTGGGGAAACTGGAGGCTTCTTCGAAACGACGATGCCCGTGCTATTGCCATTGCTTGTTGTAGATCCGACACGATAATGGGAGCGAACCGGAATAGGCGGGACAGGGAGACCAGGAGAGTCTGCCTTGGTGTCGGAGAAGCCATCGATGTTGCCTACACTGGGTCTTACAGGGAAGCGCCCCCCGTTGGCTCGCTTCGACGGACGGGGTGTCTCCGGATTGCTTTCGGTCCAGCTCTCGTCCCCAGAAGACTCGACACGCAGTCTTTCCAAATCGGACCGCTGACGTTCCTTTGCAATGTGTTGTCGCATGAAGCGTTTGACTTGTGTGGCTATGACGGCATCGCGCTCGTTCTCGTTTGCGGGTGAGGGGGCGTTGTCCTTGATGGTGCATACGTCGGGCGGGGGAAAGACCAGCTGGTTGCCGTCTAGCTTAAGGACCTGCAAGCTGTTGATCTCGCCCAGGCACACTGGCAATTCCTCAATCTTGTTCTTTGCGATTGCCAGCACCTTCAAAGACGTCAAGTTTGCAATTTTGGGCGGGATGAACCTGATCTTGTTCCTGCTCACGTCGAGGATTTCCAGCGATGTCATCTCGAGGATCTAAGGCGGTGTCAGCGGGTCCTGCCCGTGCAGGGTATTGCGGGGGCTAACATACGGCATTGGGAATCTCGCGCATGGCATTGTAGCGCACGTTGAGGTAGCGAAGGCGCCTGCATTCGATGAGGCGCGACGGGAGGGTCGAGAGGAGGTTGTGGGAAAGAGCGAGCCTAACAGGTCAATAAGTCTTCTCTACCGCCGACTACAGGCACAGCAGGCGCGGGCGGCAAGGTCATGTACCTTTCAATCTCGGCCCGGATGACATCGATGACCTCGTCCGGCAGGCGAGCAATGTTCTTGTGGCCCAGGTCAATCGTAATGCCGGGCTGCTGCTGCTGCAATTCCCGGGGCGTCTCGGCGGCGGCGCGGTGGTTGATGTCCTGGCGGGAGTGCTCAAAGGCCGCCTTGGTCAGGGCCACGACCTCGTCGTCCGAGATGGGCGTGGGCGCGTCGTTGCTCATGGCGAGCGGGCACGGAGAGTGCGCGGCGGGGGTGCTAGAGTCGTGGTGGTGGCATACATGCTGTTCGTGTGGACAGCGACACTGAAGCTCAAGTAAGTAAGGAGCCACCTGCGGTTCGTTGGTCGTCGCCTAGCCCCTTCCGGCCGTAGCGTCCTGGGCCTGTCAGGTCCCGCGCCCTCAAGTCGAAACATCACTGATCAGCTCGGAGCCGCCACCGCCCACCATCCATGTCCCAGCCCGCTGCTGACACGTCTTGGTCGCTTGAAACGCGTTTTGACTTCTCGCGTGCTTCGAGTTACGCCGAACACCTTTCTAGGCAGAGTTAAGAACGCGGCCTGCCCACGTGACAGGCTCGACCGTTGGCACGGCTGGCCAGTCTCCAACGGCCAAAACGGCCGAAAACCTTAGCCACCCGCGTAATCGACAGGAATCCTGCCGTCCGTCTCCGCATCTTATTCGGCCTTTCTGGAAATGGGAGGACAGTCCACACATTCCTAGGCAATCGTATATAGAAGCTGACAAGCTACACTCAGCGTGCGTCTCTACATCTGCGCTAATGCTCAACACCAGATCTGATCTGACATGTCGACGGATCCCATCGTGAACGCTATGCAAGGTACAGGCATCCTCCGATCACGCTAACCCACGCCATAGGATTCTGGCAGCCCGTTCTGCGTCATGATTGAACGTACTTTGGCTGGTTGGGCGGGGACGTGAAGGCTGGGTATCGGCGCATTTTCACATCCTATTTTCCTTTTTCCAGATGCCATGATTCAACCTCACACAACCCGCAATGGACATTGACGACGCCCTACCGCCTGCTATCCGTCGTTCGCCGAGAGCTGCCCTCGAAGCACAGAAGCAGTACAGGGACCACCGAACTTTTGATTTTGACGAATCCGACGAGGACCTGGATGAAGCAGCCCCACCTCCAATAGCGCGCAGTCGATCTGCTTCAATTGACGGGCAAGTGACATTTCGTCCTGCCTCATCAGGCCTCAATCCACTCCGAGCGCATCCAGTCGATGCGCCGCCGCCAAAGAATCCAGCCCGCCAGTTTTCTCGTCCCTTTCGAAATGAAGAACCTCAAGATGTGCGCTCAGCCGACCCGGATCCCCAACTTGAGCCGCAATCCGCGCGACGACATCCACGCGGGCTCATATCGTATCGCAACAACAAGAGGGAAATTAGTAACATCAAGCGCTTTCCTCCCCATCTGCGACGTCAGACCTCGCTGGAAACCATCAACTCGGTAAACACGACAGCATCTGATGACCAGAGCATCTATGGCCATGATCCGCCTGAAGTTGAGGCTCCTTCGCCGGATTGGTTTACCCTGGAAGATGACCCGCCGACCAATCCACCGCCCAGTATCATGTCGAAGCCGTCTTCAATGAATTCATCAAGTGGAAGCTCGAGGCGAACGTCGACACCCGTAGAGACACCTCTTGAGTACGGGAGTCTCGATCACCACACACCGCAGTCCCTATTTCGGAAGATGATGCCTCGGCGGTTGACGGATAAGTCACAAGATTCTCCTCCAAGCCCTACTCGCCTAGTCATAGCAAAGTCAACTTCGGTTGATCGGACGTCTGCCCACATTTCCAACTTTTCAAGATCAACCACGTCCATATCAGAAGAGCAACGGTCTATACCCGAGGAACGTTCCCTCCAGTCTATACTAGACAACGTGGAGCGAAGTCGATCTGGCTCAAAGTCAAGCGGAAGCAGTAAATGGAGTGCAAGCGACTTTGACACAAGTACTCTGTCAGAAGCTGAACTCAAGAGGTGTCAGAAAAAAGGCATCAATCCGGCCCTGTACGCCGAGATGCGGGCGGCTAAGAAGGGAAAGTGGACTAGTCCCATAGCTGGCAATACCTTCCTTTAGTGTTCACGGTCCGGACTTACGATATACCTCCGCTGATGCACCCAACCCACTGGGAGGTAGGATCCCCCTTACCTACCGGCAACCGACACGACTTTCATACACTTGCTGCTTTTGCAAATTCCGAGGCTATGGCGCGTGGCTTGAACCCAGCAGCGAGTACACCGTACAAGTCCTCCTTCGGTTGGAAACTTTATCCTCGTGTCAATTCTCGGCGACCCAATCCCAGACATGTGACGTCCTTCATTCCACCACGCCTCACTCAGACACCAACCGCGCGCATCGTGCCGTTTCATGGACCCTCTCGGACGGCGACTATCGGTGAAAGGGTTGACATCTCGCCGTCCTCGGGTGTCGCCCTCCATATCGGCGAGAAGGTGTACGGCGAGGTGGTGTACGCAAATTGCTACCAACGCATTTTGAGACTTGGGCGCATCGTCAACATGTTGGTGTATGGCGTATTTTGTTCTAGACATGTTGACCTGGCGTTTGTGTGCAAGCTTGTGCAGATGTCATTGCGCTTTTTCTGTCGCCGTCGCGTTATAAGCGCTTCCTCCGATTTCCGTCTTTTTCTTATTTCATCAAATGGATTTGAGTTTATGGTGTATCATATATCTCTTTCATATGTCCAAGGGGCGCACAAGGGAAACTGGTAATGGTATCAAGCGATGGAGTCTCGGTTCGTTTCACAATCCACAAATGCCAATAAGCAATCCATCAATATAACTTATCAATATTGATTTCCGCGAGGTCTACCCTGAATGTGAGGGATACCCCATCGATATCTGTTCACTCGAATAGAAATAGCCATCTCGATGTACATAGCTTCGACTACACTGACATGTACCTAACTTCTACCTCGGTTGCATGAAAAGTTTTTCGTGCCCCTCATGTTCACGACACTTCGTATTTCCTCTCTACCTGTCGAGACGATTATGTTTACCAGTATTCAGAAGGACATGACCGAGAATGCGACTCTGGTGGCTGGGAGGATGGCCAGTAAAAGCTCAAACTAGAGTATATATGGAAGCGATCCCGATAGCGACAACGAGAATGACAACGAAAACGCAACCGGATATGAAGAAGAGACGATACTAAGCGAGGGATTTGACCGCATGCACTGGCCAGTCTTCGCAAACACATCTCTTATCCAAGTTCACTCCGACGATCCGCAAAGCATATCTCTACACCCTCGCGCATTCCAGGCCATCCCATCGTCAAACAATCCGCTACTTCACCACTCTGCCGCAAGATCGCCTTCGACCTCCCTGTACTGACGCACATCGAGACACCCGGCTACAAGCGACCGCGTCGCTTACTTGTCATCAGACCAGATGGCGGTATCATCACCGTTGCTGATGTGGTTGAACAGCTCTCATCCTACATTAACGAAAGTAGAGACGACATGTTCCAAGCCGTAGCCCTGGGGGGGCTCAGCATCGAATTTTACCTTTCCATCTCTGACCTAGGCGACATACCTAACGACACCAAACTCTTCTTCGCAGGATTCTCGTACAGTACTATCGACGAGGAATACCACGCTATAAGCGTGGAAATAAACGATGAGACAGACTTGTAAACAACTAGCTACCAAAAAAAACAAAGAAAGACAATCCCAACGGTCTGCTAGAGACTAGGGGAAGCGAGAAAGGGCACTCCCGGATCATGCAAGAACCATTCTACTTTCGCGGGAAACCACACCCAGACATGCTTCAGCCTTCTAGAACCCAAGATTTAGATTGCACGAGCGTATGTTGAGCTCAGCCAAACCTGACACATCGGTGTTGTTTGTCGTTGTCGTTGATGATGTTGCTGTTGTTTACCGGGGAACAAGGGAAAAGAGTAAGCGAAATAGATTAAAGCCCTACTATATGGAGATGACCCGATACACGCGCCCAGACGGCACCGTGGCAGCTCACGGCCCGGATCGGTCAGTCAGTGGAGTTTTGCGTCTAACTCTCTGCAAGAAACCGACCCCCCCCACATGGACGTGGACGTGGACGTCGAATAAACCTTCTGCAACAGACGCGGCGAGGAAAGCGACGATATGAATTGAATGGCGTGCTCTCACGTGCCTCGCTACAGACAAGTAGAGTGCACGTGGTATCGTGAGATTCATACAGGACCGATAGCCCATGGTGTTGGTCATTCTCCAATATTCCGCGTCAGCCTCATCGTCGATCGCAGGGAAGAATGTATCGTGGGAACCTTCCTATTGTAGGGACCCAGAACAGGCCCGACGGCGCAAATTGATTAACCTGCTCAATTTGGAAGGTCTGGAAAGGCGTAGGGGGTAGGAGTAGGGGTGATGCCTCATCTCCATGAGGTTGTGCTGGTCTCCACGCCAAAAGCGCGATCACGATGCACGATCACTGCTGCTCAATCACGATGCACGCAATGCCGCATGGGGGTGACGCGGTGTAACGTGCCGCCTTGTCTAGGCTTTTGACATGGTATACACAATCTGTACATACATGGTCAAATGCACTAGCGACCCGTGTGTGCAGTAGTACGGGCGGAACTACGACTTTTACACCATGTCGTTTTTGCTCAACGTGGTCAGATTAGTGCAGACAACTTCCCTACCGATCGTGAGTTCAAGTGGGGCTGGGAATCGTAAGCAGAGGCATAAGTTATTCGGAAAACGTCCCATATACATACTCCTACACCGATATACGTACCGAGTAAGAGAGGCCCAAGGTATTGGCTAAGCACCAACCAGAGCGTATCGCTTAGTCGGTTATTGTGATACTATTCATATCAATATCGCCATCATCGATTACCTGCAAGCATGCAAGGCACCATGACAACCTGTTCCTTTCTCCATTCCGACATGTGCTCCGATCAATCCCACCACACTCACAAAGATCAGCAAACTACGAGTGGCTGTGAGAGCCCACTATCCTAACGGCAGTTACTGCTTAGCGCCGCTCGTCACACACACGATCATGTCTCATGGCGCATGCGATCAGCGGCGTGCTGCTTTTGGCCCTGCTTCCTGCCCTTCACTAGTGTCTTGATCCGCTGACATAGCTGTCTATCTTGACCTCAACGGGAAGGCGACGATCAGTATGCGCTGCTTTTGCTACGTCCTTTGCGCTAACGGGATAAGGGGAAGCTGGCGGGAAATGTACAATACTATAGGCGGGTGGACGAGCACTTTGCCTGATTGCCATCGATTGGTTTGCTTGGAGATTTGTGTCATTACAGACTCGCGATTTCGATGTTCGACATGCCATGGCGGCGGCGGCGGTCGTTCAGCTGCGCCCCTTTAACGTTCGTGCGGGGTCGGAAATGCTAAGACAAACTTCTTTTCGCTTCCACCAACTCCTCGTCTTCCTATTCGTGAGGATGCGCAGGGGAGATTGAACACACCTCCGATTGCATCTTACGTGAACATAGATGGGTAGCATGCCCGCTACGTACCGAGCAAAAGATCAGCGGCTTTTTTGGTACTCCACAACGCTGCTGTTGTATCTCAAGGTGATCGTCGAGACTAGGTGACGGTTACAACCTTCGACGTCACATCGTGTGGCTTATCTCCAGCAAACAGATGTGTTTTCTAGAAGGCTTCGAGAAGTTTTGCCACTCTCGTGTTTGCTTTTGTGCGAAACCCCTCTCTTGATCCAGATTCGTGTTCCATGCTGGTGGGTGCGATGATGGAAGAGAGATGAGGGGTAAGTCGCACAAAGCGGCCAGGGTAAACAGGTCTATTACGTTGCGCAAGCTTCGTCATCGTGCCTGCGCGAATTTCGACGTCGTTGGTAATAGCTATGCAATTGAGAGACTGGTTTGTACGTTTAGCTGGTAAGATCCAGTTAGCCCGGTGGAGTGATTTTTCGCGGTGTTCAAGTCCGTCGATAACGATGTTACCTGTACATTGACGAATCACGGCTTTACCTCCCCTTTGTGCTCCGCGGAGGGCATCTTGCATCGGCGAACGGGTGTTGCCGTCAAGTGGTTAGTCGGTTGGTCTTGGTATTTTGTAGTCCGGCTTGGAACGTAATCGTTACTGGTAGGCTTGGACGGCGTGCTGCGCCGCTGGCAAGTCTATCTGCAATGCAATGGTCGCGCGGGAGGCTGTGCGCTGGGTACAAGTGCCGGGCAGGCTTGGATGGATGCAGAAGGAGGCAGGTCAATCTCAGTGTGCGCGTGGGAATAAAGCGACATAGTTGCGGGAATGGGAGATTGCGATCGTGATATCGTGAATTTATTGTTGGATTGATTGAGGCTGAATTACTGCGACCAAATGAACGCAGTGCTTGTATATTTCATTGGTGTGTACGCGATACCGGACGAGAGGGAAACTGCTCGGAGCGATAACATCTAGTCATGTAGAGTAGATCATACTTTCCATTGTGACCTTGACATCGTTCAAGCCGAATATCTTTACACGCTGCGACGTCGCTAGCTCGTGTAGTTCATCAGCAACACAAAAAGCTCCATGACTTTGTGTCGAGGTCTTCCGCCCCAAGCGTCCCGGTCCTGAGGTCGTAATTCAGCACACGCCAACACAATATCAAATACCTCCCCGAAGAACACCTTTGAACAAGACAAGGCATCCCAGAGGCCCCCGAGTCAAGTCTTCCACCAGTGTCCAAGTGAAACATGTCACGCCTGAAGATCGATTCAACGTCCCATCTTTGAAACGAGTTTACCCGCATGGTACCTCGAGCCGCCGTAAGCGCTGAACGACAACAATCTCAAGGAAGCCATGGTATAGCACAGTACGGATATCGCTGATGCCGTAGATGATACCTGGCCCAGGCACAGTTGTATAGGAGATTTGTAGATGTAGACCGTATACCGTATACCTTGAGCAATGTAACTCCCCAAGAACATCACCTCGTCGTCCCAGGAGCCATTACCTCATCCTCCCCAGCACAACGGGGTCCCGAAACCACGTTCGCGGCAATGCAATGCACGCCAACTCCACGTGCCAACTCGCTCAAGGGCCCACCTAAAAAGAGAATAGAACAAAACCAAACGTTCGTGCACGAGGAAGGAACAGGAATTGTGCATGAGTTTGTGATGTACCCTACCCTACGCCACCACCAACATTACTCGCTCTCGCATCCTTTGCGTGCGGCACAGTTGCAGTCGACCCAACGAAAAGGAGGACTTCAGGCTTGGCAACGACATGTGAACGGCGTTCTGGACAGGCAAAGGCGGATTCCGTGGGCATGGGATTGGTAATGTGCCATGTTCCTGAAGTTTGGGGTCGGCGAGCGGGCTGGCGCGCTCGGTTACACGTCGCTGATGCTGCGTGGTGAGCTGGAGCGCAAGGCTGATCGGTGTGCCATGTATGTGATGTAAGGATAGAGTTTGGGTTCAATGGGATGATGTGAGAGAGATCCGCGGAGGGCGGGCTATTGTTACGCCTTGGTTGGTGCACTCGTATGTGTGTGGTTCGGATCCGATTGGGAAGGGGACAGGCGTGTGAGAAAACAGCAATAGCCATCTGAATAATATCGTGCACGACTGAAATGGAGGAATTATTCGACCAACCCGCAGGACATGGACCAAGTCACGCGGCAGCCATTCCCGTGATAGAACTGCTATGACAAAGCCTCCGCCTGCTCATCCTTCCACCCCAACCCCAAGTTCACCACCCAACACATCGGTCTACGCTTCACACGTCACGCATCTTCTTTTGGCGATTGCCCTCGCACCGGGCACCTCGGGCACCGCATCCCTTACCTAACCCGAAGCCATGGGTAGCACATCAATGGCGTAGCTGAAAGTACACAATGTAAAGAAAGGGCTTTCCCAATCCAGTAGCTCTTTTGCCCGGGTCCTCGGCGACCGTCTCCAGCCCTGCGGAGAGAGGTAGGGGCGGAAAGGATTCCAAGGGATACCGCGGAGTCGGTGTTCAAGGAGTGGAAAGGAGACTGCTATTGTCGGTGTGTCCCATATGACCACCGATGGGCGTCCCGGTTGTACGGCGAAAGGGATTGATTGAGGATATCCCTTTGCTTTGCGTTCGGCGATTCCTTGCGTAGCCTATGCGCTCGAGAAGATTCACATGCTGTTCCGGGCGAAAGAGGTCCGATGCAAGGCATTAGGTTGGTGGGCGCTTTGTGAGATGCGATTTGTTAATGTGGAGGTAGTGAAGTTCGGATATTTTGCAACATTGCCTAATAGAGTAAGAACGTCACAGCAAGGGACCAGCATTGAAACGAAATTTTGTGTGTTGTTGACCAACATGGTAAACAGTCATGATTCTAGCGCTTCATGCGCTTTGGTATCTACTCCAATCCGAACCCGATCCATGCCTATGAACAGTCAATGCACCTCGGAAACCAATCCGAAGCACGCCCGCTTCGGGGCAAAGTGAAAAGTAGTCGTAATGATACAGAGAAAAAGATTCAGAACCGTCCGCCCAGTAGGTCATTCGTGATATGCTCTTGATAGATGGAAACGTCAAATGTAACGCCTGGGCCTAGCCACCACAAGTGGATATAGGAAGCGTGGCCGCCAAGTTTCGCAACGCCGTTTCGCAAAATGTCTAGTAGTTTGAAGTTGAGAAGAAAGTGGAAATGCCGAAAACAACCTCGCCGGGTCGTGTGAGCCAGTTGCGCCTTCGCATGCCCGTGGTTCGGGTGGGAAATTCAGTTACGCCGGTGTTTATGCAACCCAGTATGCAAGGTCAAGGTGATGCAAATCGCTCTGATTGCATCTTCGTAATCGTGTCGCTTTTGAATACCGAAATGTCGGTGTGGTGGTGAAGAATGTAAGAGTTGAGTGGGTGGTAGCTTAGAACAAACCACCCTCAACAACGCCTGGTTCGTCGTCTCGGAGCTGGCCTCCGCTCTTCTTCTTGGGCCAGAGCTTGCTGCTTACTCGCTTCCAGCTATCCCGGGTAGCGCTGGCGAGGCCGTTGTGCTCTCCTCGGCTGTTGCGAGGGCTGGGGGTGCCGCTATTCGAGCCAGTGTCGTAGTAGGCTTGATGGAAGTCGGCCATGGGGTAATCGCTCATGGGCGGTGTGCCCGGAGGTGTAAGTGGGTCGCTCATGCCCGACGGGCTGCTGGCGCTGCCAGAGTCATCGGTCAATGCATCGCTGCCACTAGTGTAGCCAGATGTAACACGAGTGTGTGCTTGACCGGAAGAGGTCGGCTGGGAGTGGAAGCGAGAGTGTGAGAAGGGTCTCGAGGCCATGAAGCCAGACGTCAGTGATGACGGTGCTGACGCTCGTTGGTGGGCAGGCACCGGCGGCTGTGACGAGCGGGAGAGCATACTCCGCTCCTCGTAGCTGCGGGTTGATGAGCGCGAGATGTTGCTACCGGCGTAGCTGTCGTGGCCAAGAGCAGGGTGGGCGCTCTGTGGGCTGACCGAGTTGAGGAATGAGACCAGTACGCTCTCCTCCATGAGCTCGTTGATCTTGGCCACGGCACTGTCTAATGACGATGGGTGGGGTGGGACGTATGAGTCGGAGAGGCTCAGCAGGTTGTCGCGGACTTCGGCGGGAAGGTTGACCTGCGGCGGTTAGTGGAGGCTAGGTGGATAGGACTGGAGAGACTTACTTCTCGTGGGCCGGACTCGCGGATGTAGGCATCAATTAGACGACGCCAGAGCATCAGCACGTAGCCGCACTCTTCGGACAATGGCGAGACGGGGCTGCCGGGATGGCGGTTGACCATCTTGGAGTAGTGCTTGCGGTAGCGGGAGGCGTCCATGGTGAATTCGAGGTTCTCGAGACAGTGGTTCTGTGACAGGAAGGCCATGAAGGAGGTGAGGGTGTAGGGCGGCGGGGCGGTGTTGCTGAGGATCTCCTGCAGGTTTGGTTTCCGGCATTGCGGACTGGGGATGTTCTTGGGTATTGAGACGGTCAATGGTTGGGGCTGGCAGTCGGTCATGGCCATCTTGACGTCGCGGGCATCAAAGTCGGCCAGCGAGGCCGTGGGCGAAGACGAGACGGTCGAGTCGGTGCGGATGGACAGGGCGTGGGTTCCGGGTTTGCGGGTGACGGTGACGCTGCGCCAGAACTGCTTGTAGACACGGCGGGCGTTGTTCCTGCTCTGCTCGTCGAAGCCTTCACAGGAACAGAGCTGCAGTTGGTGCGCCAGCTTGGCGTTGGCGGCACGAGGTTCGGGAGAACCTAGTGTCTTGGGCGGTGGGGAGGAGGAAAGTCTATTGCTCCGGCGGCGGCAGCATCGGGTGGGAGGTGGTGGGTGGTGGGAGGCAGGCGGGTATATACGTCGGCGTGGTGTGGATGTGGATGTGGATGTGGATGGGGTCAGGGCGTGGGTGTGACGGTGCGTGGTGAGACAGAAAGGCCGATATGCGTCAGGACGTGGCTATGGACAGGTGCGGCTCAGCGTGGTTTTGAGCAAGCGGCAGTGGAGAGTCAGGGAGTCTTGGGTCAATGCTTGGGCGGAAAGCTCAGTCAGGACGCACACGCCAGGGCCCACCAGCGGTTTGGCCATCACGAAGGATCGAGGGCCCATGGCTGAGGGCGCCCACACCCGTAAAGCGGCGGCCGCCCACTAGCCGAGCATTGGCCGCCCATGTCTTCTGGAAGACGTACGCCTGCATCACCATCCTTGCCGAAACCGCCCCCTGCTCTGCACAAGTTGCCACGCCGATGCTGATGGGCGCGCTGCCTTGCCCGACCTGGCCGCCTGCTGTGACAGACTGCGACATCAGCGCCGTCGACGAACGAACGACGCGTCGCTTTCCGAGGGCGTGGTAGGTAGCACCGCACACAGCAGCACGGTTGTTATCTATCTCACGACACTCACTCGAGCCATTCCCGTCTGGTTGCGACGCCCGGCACTAGCTGCGTGCATAGATTACATTGGCCCCCCCCAGCCTTGTGCCTCGCCGCAGCCCTCTCTAGCAGCCGACTGGGCGTAGCCTGCGCCAAACGGCCCTATTTCGACGATAAAGAGCACCCTTCTCCAGTTTCCTTCGACTTTGCCGTACGAGGGCCATGGCGACGATGCAAGTGCACACTGGCACTGCTCCAAGGGTTTCATGGTCCCAAGGACGTGGAATGCGCAGCCCTCGCACCTCCCAGCACGCCGCAAACGACGGCCTGCGCCCGACAGTGCCCGCTAATCCACCCTATGACTCTGCCTACACAACAAAGGAAAGTAGATCGATCGCACTGTCTCTTGCTTGCTTTGTCACCCTACAGCCCGCAACATGCCCCAGTGTCACCTGCTGCCGCGTGATGTGCACGCGCAACGGTACTTGATCAAGTCTCCCTCGCCAATCACGCTCCCACTGTCTTACACCACGCCAGCCCGCACGGCCACACGCTTGGCCCTCGCCCTACGCCTGGGGTCAGACTCGTCCTCCAAGTGCTCCCCAATCTCTGCCTTAACTGACGCAAACCTGCCCTCAGCCAACCGCGCTCCACTTGGGATGCGCCGGCGCCTCTCTAGCCTTGTAGCACCCTTCTCTAGCAGACAGTGCCATACACCGTGCCACCGCCTGTATCCTCCTCACCTGCAGTACATGCAGTATGCCATCTTTCTTTTGTGCTCGCTGCTCTATCCACCCGGCTATACTGACTGCTCTACTACCCTGCCAGCGTCTCGCTGTCGTCAAACTCGGGAATGCTGACGTTCCACCAGCGCTACCATCAGGCCACCCACCCCCCAATCCCTGCCCCATCGCACTTTCTTTCACCGTGCGACCGAAGAAATCTTCTAGAACGACTTCATCCTTCTAGAAATTTACCCGAACCTGTCTAGTGCATCCACATGCCCTGCGCGTCGATCCAGGATCTCCGTCAACCTCCTGCATGTCCAGCGAAACGCTTGTAACACTCCACCCTCGAAGCCTTCACTTCGGAAATCGCTCACCCATTCGATGTAGCGCTGCGAAATGTTGAGATTGCCTTCGGGCTTTCTCCAAGCGCCGGCCCTGCTGTGCTTCGTGAAGCTGCCAATGTGGCGCTTCTAGAAGGACTGCTGTGTCGTTGCAGCACCGTCACTAGCCGGCTAACGACTCAGCACGCGCCGACGGGCACCCAAAATCAATCCGCACCGAAAATTTTGAGCCGCCAACAAAAAAAAGCTCGGAGCCTCAGGAACACAGCATGACGCAGCAAGTGGACCATTTTTGTTCGCGTAGACGTGATTCACCCGCTTCACCGCTTCGTGGGGTTTCGTTTTTTAGCCGCATCCCACGCCTGTCGGAGCACCGCGATCGCTGAAACTACGTGCTGACCTTGGCGGAGTCTCTGCTGTTCGAGCCTCAGTCATGTCGGAACGACATGTCCTCTCCTTGCATGGTGGCGTCCGTAATGTGCGGCTTTTTGCTTGTTAGAGCCCCAACGACCACGCCCTCGGTACCAGCTTCCCGACGTTGAGTTGAAGAAATTCTCACGACAAAGGCCATACTGGCCCTGTGTCATGATTCCGGGCAGTCACGAGATTCATGGCATTTAGCCTTAGTTTCCCTTCTTTGCACAGCATTGCCTGTCCACACTCCACATTGTGGTGTTGAGCTTGGACTCAAGCATTGACTGCTTCGGAACCGGCGACCGCCCGCCGAAGAGACGCCAGGTATACATGAAACCGGACCGATGTGGACCGTAACCACTGTTTGAGCGATGCACTGATGCGTCTGCGCTGGCACACTGTGTGAGCAGAAAAAGGAAAGAGACAAAAGACATGCTGGTGGTTATCAAACTGCTTCAAACATAGGGCCAGCGGTACATGCTGGTGCCGATCCTATGCCGTTACCGATAAGTAAATCTGCTGACGTCGTTACCAAGCGACGTTTGCCCTGGATCCCACGACAGCCTGCAACACGCGAGTGCTTCCATCGGGTTACCTGTCTCCCCAACAAGACGCCCTTCTAGGTATCTCCTTGGTGTTCTTCACGTCGTTCGTTTCACGGCTCTTGACAAGGCAGTTGTGGTCCACGCTACCTCGTCATCCGACTTTCCGGATGCCCGTCTGCAACCGTGTCCCGGCTTGCGTCTCCAGCGCAGCGACATCTAGATCCCATCCCTTCCCCCTCATCTCGTCCCCATATTTTCCAAACGTCGCCTGGACGTCCTCCAACGTCTGCCTCAACTCAGCCTTCAGGCGATCCTTGGCCGGAGGTTGTGCTTCATTGGGCTGGTTACCCGAGTGCCCATTCCCATCTCGGGCCCTCCTCGCAAACAACAGTGCGTGAGCCCATGCTTTGAGATGATCCGTCGGTCCACACTCTGCTTTGAGTACAATGGAGATATAAGAAGCGGATGCAGCGGGACAGATGATGTATGCCTCGCCGGCGAAGACGGTTAGTAGTTCGGAGATTTGTATAGTCCGCAGAGCGAGCGAGCCCGTCTGTGTATTTTGTTCCCCAATCCAGCCTAGCATGTCCTGGAGAGATACGCCAATCTTACACTGGCCGAGCATTTCGTCGTCGGACCAGCGCAATACGTCACCTCTGTGGAAGATGCGCTCGCGCTCAGACACTTCGGTCGGACTCAGCACGACGCCGTGTTGGAATATGTTGCTGAACAGGATGTTGGCGCGCTGTCTGTTGAGGGATGCAATGCTGACGGCCCTCACAGCGGCATAATTGGTGGCCAGATGTATTCCTAAAAGGAAGATGAGTGTGCTCCATGTCGCAAAGGGTGAGGTGATGTAGGATACTACCAGACTGCCTGCCTAGCCGACGTATTAGTCATTACATCAGCAGTGTGTAAGCTCGGCGGTACTTACGAGCATACCCATTAGAGAGATTACTGTCTCTTGGCTCGAGTCTTTCTAAGCATTAGTCAGTATTGGTCGTGTGTACCCAACCTACACTGTGCCCCACAGTATAATTCATAAGCTATCTATGCAGATCTGTGTATTGGGCAAGATAGCACATGATCTTAACAGCGATTGTAAGGCACGTGCTTGTAGTCGACCGATTACTTCTCTGCTAGCCATTTCATAGAGAACAAAACAAAAGAAAACAACAAACTCACAGCATTCACCTCCCCCAAATTCCCTTTCTTTGCAAAATGCGCACTCAAACTCGCTTTCGCACTTCCCGCACAAACCCCGCAGAGGGCTCTCAGACAACTCGAGAAGCTCAACACAGCCACGCGAATGGGTTTGGGGAAGGCAGGCGATAAGCAGTCGAGCACCATGGCTGTGTCGTTGAAGACGTCGGCGGCTAGACGATACATCTTGCATTCTGGCTCGAGGGCTGTGCCGAGACGGTGCGCGAAGAGGATCGTGGCGATGCGGCCGGTGGATTCTTGGAGGACGGAGAGGAGGAGGGCGGAGGTGGGGGAGGCGGTGGAGTCGCCGACGCCGACGCCTGGGTGGGTGGTTAGATGGGTGGTGAGGAGATTTGTTGTTAGTTCATCGTAATCGGGTGCCAGCACGTTTGGTGCTTGTGATGCATGTTCCCTTTCTCTTGAGAGTCTTGTTGACCACGCAGGGTACTTGGTTTTCTCAAGGATTAGAAAAACATATGCTGAGCATACTCCATGCCGCACGTGAAAACATACCTTCCAGAACAGCCCTCGAGGCCAACATCCCCGCAATCGACGACGAAAACGCTTGAAGCGAGTCCTACGCCAACATCACTCCATCAGCTTTCCAGTGTCTTGAAAATCCCAACTCATACTATCATTGGTCTGAAAAGGGAAGATTCCAATAAACATACATAGATCTGATAATGGATATAATCCTCCGTCACACTCTGCGGATACCCTGCTGGCAGAAAAACATCAAGAAGACGTTGCGGATAGCTCTTTACTTCTTTGGGGTACTAAAACGATGTAGATGTTATGTTAGTAACCGTATTCCCACCTTTCACCAACACATGTCTGTAGTCGAACTTGCAGTACAACACACCTAGGTATTACACGCAGGTAAATCAATAGCTCGTCAAGTCGCAGCTTCAGCATGAACATAGGCGCGTAAAACATACAATGACATCAACCCTCCTCCCCTCCACATCAGTAACATACTCCCTCACTAAATTCCCCGCCTCATCTCTCTCGCTTATCTCCAGCGCCATCGATGCGCGTGCAGGTGCAGTCGAGTGGTGTGAGAATGGTGTGAGTGCCGAGTAAAGTGGCTTCGAAATGTCGCGCTAATGTCTGTGTCCGTAAACGGTTTGGTGGATTGGTAGAGTGGAAGTACGCGGGGAGGGCTGCGTTGAGAGAGGGGGAGGGGCTGGAACGAACCCGTGTGTGGATCCGTCAGATCCGCCATCGCCACTCTGCGCATCAAACACATCTGTCTACGATTTGATGGTTATGTCACTCCACTTTTTGTGGTATCGTTTCCATGATCTCGGTTTGTTTGCGACAGTGTGAAAAGACGATGCGCCGCTTTACCATGCCCCTCCTGCCGTCCATGGGATGTGTAGCAATATGATCTGTGCACACCCGCCCCTATAAAGCTAGCCCCAGCTCTTCATCTATCGCAGAGTACACCTGTTTGATTGCCTTGTATACCTCCCCCAACAAAAATCCCACTTGCTGCACTGTGCTTTGCGTTACCACAAACAGCTTCCCTGCAACGAGGTGAGCCGTCTGTGTTGGGTCTTGTTGTTGAGACCAAGAAGTGCTATACGGATACGACATGAGATGGCTGTGTGAGCCGCTGTCTACATGCACTATAAAATGATGTGAGATTTCGGAGGTATTATTCTGGGCGTCTGTTGTCTCAGGTTAGTGATGTCCTGCATGTGTGTTAGAAGGGTTTCTTGGAGGCTTTTAGGGAAGGATACCGATTGGTACACGTACTTGCGCAGGGAAAACCGGGCGATGCGGAAGAGATGGATGCGTGTGTCATCTCTGCTTATGTGCATGGTGGATTGATCGGTCAGCTGTATTCTCATTGTACGTTATCCACCTAGGTAGGTAGTCTTTTCCGAGGTTGTAGCTAACTCTTCTATCGAATACGTACTCATTGCGCTGGAAGTATCAGCGTTTAGTGGCATGCGAATGTCACAAGATATGCTGGTCTCGTGGCAGGTATGATCAGGTTAGCGTTTCTTTCTCTTGTATCTGCCAGATTACAATGGGTTCTGAATGTACATGTTGTATGGAATCCCGTTGTCGTTATGACGAAGATACACCATGTACCTTCCAATGAACCTTTCGATATCATACATTGAGACCTTCTTCTTGTAGAATAGCGGTCTTCGTGTGGTTTCATATATCTGTGGGCGAAAGTAACTTTCTAAAGAGATTTCATGATGCAGTCCACTGAGGGTGACTAACCCCAAAGTCGTCGGAAGGATGTATGATGGTTCCAAATAGACATCGAGGCGATGAGCTTCTCTGTTTCCGGGTTATACTCCAGTGAGGTCTGGTACGCAGAATTCGTGAGGCAATCAAGTAAAGCGGGTTGGCTCTCTCTGCTTTACCGTTTCGATGGACACAATAGCCGTACTACTATTCATCATGCTCGCAATCCCCACCGTCCAACACTGTGTAAACTGTAGAGCTTCTGATAAAAGCAACATATAATTGAACGCCTGCCATTGGAAGCCGTCTAAAGCAGTCTCTTCGCATTCATCAGTATGCAGGACTGTAGCTGGAGAAGAATATTTGAGGTATGTATTACATTGAACTGTCCTCTTGCAGTGTATCACTGCTGTCTACCCGCAACCCTTCACATTGGGATCGCCATCCCCGTAAACCAACAATAACCTGGGTATCTAATCGTGTATCCGAATGTTAAGTGGCGGTACGCAATTCCGCTGCATCGTGCCCAGGATACTGTGTACCATGCAGCGTGTACCAGCCACGGTCTGCAACCCTCCCTCCACTCCTTGTAAAATATCCTGAACTCCAAACAGCATGTATACCCAAAGTACGAGACTGAGCTCGTATGCGAAGGCCGTGATTCGAAGAAAGACGTGAGAAGCCAAGGTCGACCTCTGAGAGTCATGGTCGCCCGTCGTACGATCCCCAGTGCCTGTTATGACGCCGTTATGACCACTCGGCGTTACTACGACAGTATCACGCCACCGCTCAAACATCCCCGTCCTCCCTTTTTCTAATTTTCGCCCTTCCAAACCTCATTTTGCCTCCTAGTCTCTCCACCTCCTCAACGGCAGCATCCCGTTGCCTCTCCAGCTCTTTGATGTAGTCGATAGCCACTGCGAGCACCATGCTCTTACTGGGCTTCACAGCGCCTGTATCCGCGGCATCACTCTGCGGTAACATGGGTACAGCCCGACGTAGTCGCTCTAGCTCTGCATTGAGCTTTTCGCGGTACTTGCGCTCGACTTCGGTGTGGGGCATGCACTGCGTCCGGGCGATTTTGGCGGTAGTAGTTGCGGAGGGTTCAGAGGAAGGGCGGTGAATGCGAGGGCGGCCGCGTTTGCGTGGAGCAGGCGGCTTGAGGGAGGTGTCCTCGGGGGAGATGCTGTGGGTTGCGATGGGTGATGGGGATATTGGGCTGCCGTGACCAGTGGGCGGCGTCGGTAAGGGAGAGGGATTGGACGGATAGCCGTTGGGGAAGTCGGTTGCGGTGTAGGTGTGTTGGAAATCGGCTGGGCAGCTCAAGGGCGTTGAGCTGTAGTTCGGCCATGCATTTAGAGGAACTTCGCCGGCTGAGCTTGTTGCACTGACAAGTGACGGCGTACTGATGTAGCTGTTGGGCACTGGTGCACTCCAGTTGGCATCTCGGGCCCCTGGCGTGATGGACCGGTTAAAGCATTGGCCGCTCCTGTTATCGTAGCTATTGAAACCGTAGTCGGAAAGTGCGGGATAGGACTCCGTGAGGTATGCGTCGACTTCGTCTGGTGATGGGAAGGCATCGCTGTTGGGAGAGTACATTGGGTTGTTCGCAACCAAGGGAAAGGGAGGCAGGTTAGAAAAGTCCATCTTGGTGTCTAGCCGCCGTGGAACTGTGTGGTAGGGCGTTTATTCCTAGTCACTCAGGTTTGGCGAAGTCATACGGAGGTATATATTCAAGGGCTATTCGTCCTGTCGTCACTTTGTCATCAGCCCTACCTTGGTATCCTGGCTAGTGATCGAGCCGGTGATCGGGTGGAAGCAGAATATCGAACGATCAACAGGCAGCACACCGGCTTTTGCCAGCTCCCAGACAGTGCGGTAAGCTTGATTGCGCTGCGCCTAGAAGATTCCGAGCTCGGGCGCGCAGCGAAGACGGCGGAGAAGCAAACCGCTGAACCACTTGTCACACCAAGATTTCAGCTCCAACCAAACCCCGGTGACAAGACTTTTTCATGGCATTCTTGCAGCCGTGATGTCCGCCACTTGAATGGCCCAACTGCTGGTAATCTCGCAGCGCCCAGCTTTATCATACGATCTGCGCCAGGGTCGCGAGTCTAGAATGGTCTGTCCAGTACAGTTTTAGTACACAATGCCCGTCTCCTCACGGTGTGAGACGCAGCCATCGTTCCCATGTCGCAGAGTGCCGTGACGTCGATGCAAGTGCTCTGCAAAGTTCGACGCGGGGAAGAATTTCTAGCCGGACAACCATCCCACATCGAATCACAACCAGCGAGCTGATACACTATACCCAATCAACTACAGGCGGTGACATGCGGTAATACTTCCCTCAGCACCCGGATCTATTCAGCATATGGTCATCGCCGTCTGCTTTGTCCTTCCAGCAGCTTCCACTTCGCTTACCATGGGCATGCGACTTGGCAACGAGCGGGCTCGGTATGTTCCGGTTAATAATCCTGGACGGCGTTCACGTGGCTCGATCCCGATCAAGACCAAAACTGGCAGTTGTATTCGAGAACACTCCACTCTGGTGAGGGGGCGCGTGTTGGTCTTCTCGACCACTTCAGAACATCTGCAGCAGCGATGCCGTTATTATGTTCTACGGTGAACATCAGGTCATCTCGAAACACCCGAACTAGAAGGCACGACCAACGAGTACAAGGCATCATCAAACGCTCTTGCCTTCCTATCAGTTGTCAGCTAGCGCATCGTACGATGGATCCTTTGAGCGTTTCACGACCTCAGCTCGTCTTGGAGTGAGCAAGGTATATCTTAGACCCTTGGCCCCTGTGCCAGGTCATACCAGACCGCTAGCGCATTTTCGAGGCGTTGGAGAGCAGTTAGCTGAATACCCCCTCGAACATATGCACTAAGGAATTGATGACTGTGAAAAGCTTGCTTTCTTGGCTTCCAGCTGAATCAATCTACCCTCAAAGTATTTACAGAGTTTTGCGACGACATGACAAGCAAATGCGACGCGGCGTATTCCTGTGGCTTGTCCGATGCGAATCATGGAAAACCACAAAGTTTTCAGTACCTATCCCTCACTTAGGGTGGCCGCAGAGTTTTAGGTGGTTGCTATACGCACACCCTCTCATTCTAGCGTACGATCATGCCCCAGTATGCCGATTTGCTCAATATTGTAGTCCCATCGAATGAACTCACATGGGTGCCACCACGACAAGTCCTACGGCATCCAGGTAATCTTCTCATGCATCAAGTCTTGCAATTGTCCAAAACACTATCCCATCCTTTCATGCCTGCTGCATTGTCTTGCAGTTACCCCTACAAGACAACATGTGCGACTGTCTCAAACAAAGTGTAGCATCTTGTTGAATTGTCGCGTATAAAACCAGACCTTGATTCGTCTCAAGAACTGGCTATATCACGCTTTCAACAATGGCGAAAAATCAACAACAGGTCAAGCGAAAGCGTGATGAATCTGCTAAACCACCACGTTGGCAGGAGATGGAAGAGGAAAAGGAAGAGGAGGACATTGCATCGGTTGCTACTCAGACGCGCGCCGATGCCGAGGTTGAGAAGCCAACAGATTTGCCCGCTGCCGCAGCCACTTCGATCCACGACAAGGCCGTGAACGGCGAAGAGCAGAACCAGGAGAAAGAGGACGCAGACGGTGTACTGCCACCACCACCGAGCAGTCCCTCCAAAAAAACAACCCCATCACACAACGTCCAGTCGTCAGAGTATCGCAATCCCCAACTGCAGTTTACCCCAAGGTTTTTCTGATACATGCGGCCAGCTACAGTAAGGGCGCGGTCCTTCTCCACTCACAACTCATGCCCCATGGATCGGCTCTCAGCACAACCAGCAATTTGAATGGTGGTTTCCTTCGGGTGGTGTCCAAGCAGATTGATTTCGATGTCAAGGGAAGGATCCATACTGTCGTACCAAAGGAACTGAGAAGTACGTTTGTAAGCAATGATGTTATGGTCAAGTTGGGATGGGTGAAGCTGTTCAAGGCCCTGTTGCACCTGTGGCAGAATGCCGAGATCGAGACTGACGAGTTCATTGTTGAGTAGGAACCGGGGGCTGAGACTTGTTCAGATGCAGTCGGGGTGTTTGTTTTCGGCGTTCACAGATCGGTTTGTTTGTTTTCTGTGGTGTTTCTGAGTTCGTTTGATACAGTTGTGTTCGATAGATGAACATTGTGTTTTCACCATCTCTGAGGAATCGAATATCAACATGATATCTGCAGAGAGGGGAACTGCCGGCCACAGATCGGGACCCACAGGCAGTTTAGACCCTGTAGAGGATGCTACGAGCATCTGTGGTGACGAACTGTGTACCCGGACCTGTTGGTATTGACCACAGCCTCCAAGATACACTGAAAAGGCTGACGCAATAAGATGGGAGTGGCTTCATTGTGAGTTATCAATTCAGACATTTCCTGCGCCGCCTGTCTCCCCATCGCAATGTTCTCTTAAGATTCACTTGTGGGAGTGAAGTATTTCGATGGAGATCTCATACTTTCCGTCCCTTTGGAACTGGCGATGGCGGCATGATAAGCGGCCTCTTACACGCCGTGAATCCTCTTGGCGCTGGGTACTTCCTGTCCAGCCAGAGATTCCACAGCATAACTGAGGCTGTACTTGATGACCAGTACAGCATCAATGCGGCAGGTAGATGCTGACACATAGGGCCGATCAATAGAGCGACCCAGAGCAAAGTCCTTCGAAGTATACCGGGCCACCTCCGATTTCGACTGCTTTCGACACTGTTTTTCGAGGTGTAGATGTTTGCAAACATGATGGCTGATGCGATAAACGGGAGGGCACCTGTAGGGTCTGGGACAAGTAGATCCTGGAACCAGAGCATCCCCTCTGTTGCCAGCGAAGGCTCAAAATATGCAGAAGGTGTTACACGCGCAACAGTTTCCCCAAGCTCGTTGGTCATGGTTGTGCCTTCGCCTTTGACGGCTGCAATCGCCATGCCTATCAGACCATCATGAGCGCCGCATTTCTGCCGTATGACCTCGGCCATGGCGACGAATATAGGTAGTTGCCCAAACGTCCACATGATTTGGCCACTCAAGCTGACATTCCATCTCTTATCAATCGCCGATGTGACTTCCTTTATTTCTTTACTCACAGCTAGAATACCCTGTTTTACTGTTCTGAAACCGCCGCGCTTCAATACCTCGTCACGTTTCTTGTAGGCAAGTGCTTCTCGGAGCGGTTGGAGACCAATGTATCGGGCCATCAGAGCGCGCGACCGAGTTCCGAATGTCGTGACAAGAAGACCGCGAGTGATAAAGGCGGTGATGGGTATGGCGGCGTACCATGGCACGGCGGTGTGGACGAGCGACATCAGCTCGTGGGGAAGGTACAGGATGGCATCGACGAGGGGATCTTGTCGCGGGGTCGAAGCGTGGAAGGCACGAACTGATGGGCGGCATAGCGAAGGCCTAGACGTGATAGAACTTCGTGAGAGCAATTGGCATGCTGGCTGCCGCAGGAGGCGCGACGACAGCATCTTGCCGTAGTTTTGGTGTTGCAGCTGTATATCAAAATGTCCGATTCCCGAGAGGAAGAGGCTCCCACTAGCGCGTCAGGGTCCCATGCTCTCGGGCCGGCGCCAGGAACCGATGTCATCCCACCTGAACAGCTGTCGCTTTGCCCAAACATTTGCCCATGGCTGAATGAGTCTTCGCTGTCTGCCTCTCCCCACTGTGTCCCCGCCCGGCGTTGTACCACGATGGGTCTCTTACTCATCTTCCTCTCGCTACTACTACCCGCACTCTTGGCTACCATCTTTCTTCCCAAGACCCTGCGCTTCGCTGCGGAAATAGTGGGACAACGTCTCCGACGATCCTCCCGTACACGACGAGAATTACTACTGGCTAGGGTAGCAAGCGAGACCAAGACCTTTGAGGCGCAACAAAGGAACAAGAAGAAAGAAGATGATGATTGGGAACAAGTTGGGAACACACCTCCTGGCAGTGCAGTGAAGGACGGACCGGCGGATAGCGAATGGGACGGCATAGTGGGCTTCTTCCACCCTTTCTGGTATGGGTGACATGCTCTGGAGGACCAATATCTTCTCGCTGACAGGTTGTACTTATAGCAATGCAGGAGGCGGCGGTGAACGAGTCCTTTGGGCTGCGATCCGAGCAAACCAGAAGCGCTGGCCAAAAGCTACTTGCATAGTCTACACCGGCGACCACGACGTCGATAAAATCGCCATATTGAAGCGTGTCAAAGACCGTTTCAATATCCAGCTATACCCTCCGACCGTCCACTTCCTCTACCTCACAACCCGCGACTGGGTACTCGCAAGCACATGGCCGCGATTCACACTACTGGGCCAATCTCTCGGCTCTCTCATCCTCGCCTACGATGCCTTCAGTCTTCTCGTGCCCGACATATTCATCGACACTATGGGTTACGCCTTCGCCCTCGGCCTATCGTCCTTCTTCTTCCCGACCGTACCGACCGGCGCTTACGTACACTATCCGACCATCTCCACCGACATGCTAGACTCGCTACAAGTTGGAGGTCAAGGCGTCAATGCAGGAACAGGCGGTGGATACCGAGGCATGGCAAAGAAGAAGTACTGGCAACTCTTTGCGAAACTATACAGCAAAGTCGGCAGCACCATTGACGTAGTAATGACCAACTCTACATGGACGCAAAGCCACATCAAGTCTCTCTGGGAACCATACCGTATCAAACGAAGCAAGGCAATCGATATCGACGTCGTCTTCCCGCCCGTCGCGGTCGAAGAAGTCATAGAAGCCGTCCCAGTCTCCGAGTCTAGCGAGAAGGATCGCGGCCCCTACCTCGTCTACATCGCGCAGTTCCGACCAGAAAAGAACCACCGACTGATCCTCGAGGCCTTTGCATCCTTCCTACACTCCAAACCCGAACTCCCAGCGTACCCCAACGATACCCCGAAGCTCGTTCTGATAGGTTCAGTGCGAAACTCACACGACGATGCGAAGCGCGTCTACGAACTGAGGCTTCTTGCACACGAACTGCACATCAAGGATAATGTCGAGTTTATATGCGATGCGCCGTGGCCGCAGATGCTCGAGTGGATGCGTAAAGCCAGTGTGGGAGTAAACGCCATGTGGAACGAGCATTTCGGAATTGGTGTAGTAGAATATCAAGCCGCTGGCATGATCTCTGTAGTCAACAACTCCGGTGGACCCAAGCTAGATATTGTGATTGAGGTCGATGGGAAACCTACCGGTGAGTCTAAGCACTTCGTAGTACCATATCCAGAACACTACTAACCTTTCACTAGGCTTCCATGCCACAACCGCAGAACAATACGCAGACGGCTTCCGCAAAGCCCTCACACTTTCCCCCGAAGACACACTGGACATGCGACAGCGGGCTCGCCGGTCAGCGGAGCGCTTTACCGATCAAGTATTCGCCGAGAGGTGGCTGAGGAACACCGAGAAGCTCGTTGCACTGCAAATCGAGCGTACAGCAAAATAATGGGCGATTCATAAAACAGGGAGCATGGCGTTATACTGGACATTTTCGATACCACACGTGAGCATTGGGACGGTTGCATCCCACTTCAGGAGTCAGTCTAGCATCCGATAGGAATTCAACTTCTTGCAATTTGTATATCACAGAGTGCGCAGTTAGAAAGTGATGAGTGATTTGCACATGTGCTGGCTGAGCTTTTTTTTTTGTATTCTGTCCCCTCTTCGGGGGATTATAGCTATGTAAGGATATTGAAGTGAATATTCATATCCATTTCCAGGGATCGTCAACCTTACTACCATAACTTTTCGTAAGACGAGCATTAAGCGGCTGAGTGCCAATCGGTGAGTGAATACCCAAAGAATACAACGCAACAGCATGATAGCAGCAGAAGAGAAAGAGTCAAGTAGCCGGACCTGCCAAGCCAACCTAAGAATGCAGAAGAACCAAGCCAGATCAGAATCGCTCGAGTTCCTGAAAGCGCTCAACCGGGTCTGCAAAAGACCGCGTCAAGCCAACTGATGCCCAAAAGTCGTCACTGACATCTTCCCTGCGCGCGAGACGCTCCAGCAACGACCGCGCATCACGGAGCTCTTGATCTAGTGGTGGCGGTTGCGGCGACTCTGCGGGTACGAGCGGAGGCATACCCTCGTAGTCGTTGGCGCTCACGGGTTCCTCGGCTGGGCCATCGAGCTGGGGAATTTGCGGTCTCTGCGGCGCTTCCGTGTCGGCGTCCTGCCAGATACCAGAGTTGTAGAAGCTGTGAACGACCTCGCTGGCATCGCGGGATCGGTTGATTACGCGGAGTGAGTAGCGGTCTGTATCCCGCGCGGGAGGCTCGCTGGAGAAGTACGATGGGCGCATTCTGCGGCGGGGAGCGGTCGAGTCTGAGATGTCCAAGCGATTCCTGAGGGCCTCTGTGCCGGTACGACGACGTATGCTGCCGCGTATGTCCATCTCTTCTTCTTCGGTATCGGAGGCTGAGTCGTCCTCCGAGGTATCGCATGCCCTCATGAACTGCTCGTTTTGTGGGGGTGAAGGACGTCGTGATGGCACTGTGAGATGGGTTTGCGAAGATGCCGCCGAGTTGGCACTTCCTGCTCGTGAACTGGGATGCGAATTTGTGAATGAGGCTGCGGCTGCGGCTGATGCGAATGATGACCCCGCACTTGGTGCGACGGGGTCGTCCACAACCGTGGTGAGGAAGCTGTCCCATTGCAACTGATCGTCAAAAGGACTGACGCTGCGATTCCGGTCGCCCAAGCCATCCAGCCTAGCAACAGGACTCCAGGACTCGCGCAGAGAGCTGGCAGGTAGCGGACCGTCGGCGATGGTGCGGCGACCCATTCTGCGCAGCGGAGGGAATGCTACAGCGTGGTTCTCGCCTGTTTCATGACTCTCCTCGGGCGCATACGCACTATCACCTCCCGTCGATCGATCAGCACGGGGGCTCTGAGAACGCGTTGATCGTCTGACAGCGCGACGGTATGATGTGTATTCCCGCATGCGTGCAAATGAGTCTTGCGCATCGCGTTGTGCTTCCGTTTCGGACGTCCGCGACGCTGCCGCTGGCGCAAATCCCGGGGTAAAAGCGGGCAAGGGGCGGTCATGATCGGGAGTGGCGCGCGTCTCATACGCGCGCATGTAGCCATCAAGGCGATTGCGCGACCGGCGCACGCTGCTCTCGTCGCGTTGTAGAGTCGGTGGGTGTCTCGAAGGCTCGTTGCTGCGGTATTCGGTCCTCGACACTTCGGGGACGGGTGGCGGTGCCAGACGCGCGCGATGCGACGAGCGATGTATCCATCCAATATACGGACCGGAGATGAGGAAATCCGTGTCGAGGGCGTTGTGAAGGCGCGGTGATCTGTTGGGTCTGACGCGGCGGCGGATGGGTGAGCGTGAGCCGGTAATGTCAGCCCTCAGTACGTCTTTCTTCGCGTCTTCTTCGCGGTTTATGTTCCATCCGATCGGGATACCCATTGCGCCAAATGTGTGATCTGCTTCGTTCCAAAAAAGATGGGTGAGGTGCGGTGTAGATGGTGACGCGCCGAATGATGCTAATGGGAATGGGTCGGAGAAGGAACTAGGGCGGCAGAGCGGCGCACGTCGCAGCCGCCTAAACCAGGACAGTGAGGCTGAAGCGTCTGGGGGAGGCGCAGAACTTCAAATGGGATGACAGCGCTGGCACTTGTCTTCCCAGCATTCATATAGCGAACGTCTTTAGTCTAGACTATCACTTCTTAAATAGCTTGTCTCAGCTTCACTTCACTCTGTATCGCAATTGAACGTCTCATAGCAAACGACCCGTCGTCTTCGCCAGGCGCGACAGTAACCGCCAAGCCTCAGTTGCCTAATATGGCAAGGTCACATCTGTCAGTAGCTTTTGGTCCACTCGCCCCAATGAGTCGACATAATCTGCAGGTACATCGTTTCAACCCATTCCGCGTCTGCCTAGACCCATAGTTGCCTATGCTACTATAGATTACTCGTCTTGTGGTCATGATCCAGCCTGGCTTGGAACGGATCAGTCTGCTTCTGAAGAATGTCCAGTTTCCATGGAAATCGATACATGTCGCTGGCACCAACGGCAAAGGATCCATTTGCCACTATGCGTCGAGACTCCTTTCCAAGCGACTCACAATTGGCAAATTCACGTCTCCACATCTCATAGACAGGTAGGTACGCTGTCACGTGAGCTAGTACTAATCTAACTTTTTCAGATGGGACTGTATAACCATCAACCATAAGCCCGTGGAAGAGGCGCTCTTTCGCAAGATCGAGAAGCACTACCTGGAACTGAGTATAAGAGATGGCATCAGTGCTTCAAACTTCGAAATATTGACTGCCACTGCTTTCCACATCTTCAACGAAGCCAAGGTAGAGATTGGCATCGTTGAAGTTGGCATGGGCGGAAAGCTCGATGCTACCAATATACTGAACAATCAAGCGGTTTCAGTCATCGCAAAGATAGCAAGAGACCACGAGGGCTTCTTAGGTGATACCCTAGAAGAGATCGCACTCCACAAGGCTGGCATCCTCAGGCCTGATGTACCTTATCTTGTCAATCCTAAAAACGAGGATAACGTCCAGGCCGTCATTAGAAAGCATGCTCAAAGCATTGGGGCAGGACCTTGTTTGGAATACGATCCTCCAGGCTTTTCAAAGACTCTGTTCGCGCACGAAGACCGGCCACCAAACCCGACCGCTCAACGGGAAAATATCGTCCTCGCAGCGAGGGCTACGATGGCAGCAATGGAAAGTCTCGGCAGAGAGATGAAACCGTTTGTGATGCAACACACCTTGCACGGCTCAAGGAACTTCCCATACCCAGGACGACTAGAGTCGGTTCGAGTACCGCCTATCTTTGGTGCGCCAAGTACGACAAGCACGACTGGATTTGATCAAAAAGGAGAATTTATCCTGGTAGATGGAGCTCATAACGCCGACGCTGCCACACTGCTGAGTGGTCACGTCGGACGGACCTTGCGGGCAAAGAAGGTTCCTGGTGTTCAAAGGCCAGGCAAGGGATGGCCTATCACATGGGTACTTGCAATGACCGATGGGAAAGATGCATATAAATTCCTGAGAAACATACTACACCGAGGAGACAATGTCGTCACTACGTCCTTTGGTCCGGTGGATGGTATGCCTTGGGTGAGACCAATGCATCCAAAACGACTCCTCGCCATAGCAAAATCGATCGAGCCCACTATCACAGGGCTAGCTGTGGAAGAAGGCGGGCCGCTCCGAGCACTTTGTACAGCAAAACACCTCCGAGAACCTGAAGGATCGATCGTCCTGACAGGTAGTCTGTATCTTGTGGGCGACTTTCATCGCGATTTGCGGGCGAATTATGGAAAGGGATACTGGGAGAGACCACATTTTGAGGAGACTAAGAAGAAGTTCGCAGCGATGCTAGAGGAGGAGAAGCACAGAGTCAACTGGCTGCTCGGCGGAACCATCGATTCCTTTGATCAACCTCTTGAACCCGATGCCAGAAAAGGCGAAGAGAGCGATGAGTGGAAAAGGCAGCAGGCCAACCGCGAAAAGCGGAGGGCCATGCAAGAAGAGATCGAGGCTCTTGACCGAGAAATGGAGCTTCTCACAGCCGAAGAGCAGCGTCTCACAAAAAGTCACACACCGGCTACAGATAAGGACACACTGGCTCCAGATAAGGGATCAAATCCACCCCGTTTCCATGATCCAACAATATCTTTATTAGAAGAAGGCGCACCCCTCCCCAGCAAATACAAGACGAAGACCCTTGAGAGCGGCGCGAAAATCAGATACCACAAAACAGTATCGTCATCACTGGACGAGGAAAAACGAGTGGAACCTTCTCCTCCTATACATAGGGCACCCCTCAAGGCCGACTCATACAGTCCGACCACCTTGGATAATGGCGGAAGAATACGATATCACAAAGTAGAGTAAGTTGGTCAGCAGACAAGAGCGAAGGGCCTACCGACACTGACCAATGAATAGGAGCAGGAGTGGCACGCTGGTGGTCAACTTGGATCGCCGTCAGGAGTAGAAATTCGATCGGCCCTGGGAGTTCGAAGTCCTAATGTGTACGATATGATTGTGTATGAATGTTGCGGTAGCAGTGGATTGCAGTTTGCTTGTGACGTGGTATGTGCAGGGAGACACTACTGTGCAAAAAGCATTGTATCTTCTAGGTTCTTCATGTGTATATCATTATCAAACTTATCCTGGGAATTTCTAGTACATCACACAAGTAAAACTGCTTCGAACCCTCCATCGTACGCTCTTGTCTCCAAGTCCTGTCCCAAAGAGCACAAGAGCGCACGTGCAGAAGCAAGCAGCCGCTCTCCGGCGATACAGCATCTAGCGGTCACAGATCTAATCAGCTTCCAAACCCCACTTTTAACTAGTCAAACTACCGCATGCGGTATCTCTGGCAGTACAACCGTGGATTGTGGCGATCTCTTGGCACAGCGAAACGTCGCGATGAGTTCTGAGAGGGCCTGCCCCCCCCGCGGCGGCGCCGGCAAGGTTAGCGGCCAGCACAGACCACCCCACACAATATTCGATTTCGACAGTCGAGCATCGTGACCCCGACAAGCCTACGCACGCCCGATTCAACTCCGCCGACAACAAGTCAATACTGTCAGTAGCCCTTTTTGCGCAGCTGTTAAAGGAATCGTCATAAAAGTATAAATTTGGCTGACTTGGAAATTAGCAAGCGACAATCCCCCGTCCAAAACCCTCCAACCACACATCATGTCTCACGAGTCGGTCTGGTATTCGCGCCCTAGGACTTACGGCAAGGGCTCCCGCGAGTGGTACGTTTGATTCCAAAACCTCGATACACTAGACGGAGGAGGAAGAGGAAGAGGCGCCGATTATATACGCGGCTGGGGCCAGGGCGAGCGCACCGTGTTGGTCTGCGCGAGGGGAGGGATTGGATGCACCTGATGCAACGGGCCAGGATACCAGTACGCGATGGCTAACACAGTACTCACAGCCGCGTCTGCACCCACCCCGCTGGTCTGATCCGCAAGTACGGCCTCAACATCTGCCGTCAGTGCTTCCGCGAGAAGAGCTCCGACATTGGCTTCGTCAAGGTACGTCCTCGCTATATACTTGTACAAAGTCCGCAAACTCACATTGCAACAGCACCGATAGATTTTCTCTCTACCGTACGCTTCGGGGGCTGGAGTAGAAGGCGCATGTGACGACGATGATTACCTGACGATACGATACAACAATGTTACCTCGACCCGACCGCCCCACATGATCAAGCAAGAGGACGGATATGGGTCTGAGATAAAAGGAAAAGCAAGCTGAGAGAGTGGGCTTTGTAGTCGGGTGGGGATGGTTCTGCATGGCGTATTTCCTCGTACTGTGTTTACGGGCAATGGGGGATACCCGGCCTTGCATGCAATGAGAAATCGATCCTGAATTCACAATACCGCTCTTACTTGTGGTGTGAAGACATGGGTTATGGATGTACTAATATGACAGAGGGGCGTCTTTCCAAGTTAGGATAAATGATGCAGGCTATCATCAGCAACTGGGACCTGGGGCACGTTACCCCTACACGACATCTTAACATCGACAGCCTGGTCTTAGTCTTACTGTGCCGCAGTCATGAGTAGGGTAAGCGCTCATCTTCCTCGGCATCTAACAGAACTAGTCAAGCAGGACATGATACAGTATCGCCAGGACAAGCAACCAGCAAATGCACATTGAAGACAAGGCAGAAGTATCTACCCTCATCCACACATACGTAACAGGTATATACGTCGACCTCTTGATATCAAATGCGCGCAAACGAAACCAAAATAAACAAGACGTAGGAGACATGTACAAATTACAACCTTGGGTCATGACATCTCGGCAACCAACTGCTCCAGAAACAAGAGCACGAGCATGCCTCATCCTCCCATCCATGCCCACCATACCCGTTTACTCCTCGTCCTTGATTATCATGAACAAACGGGCAAGGAAACATCATTTCCTCTTTTCTCAATTCCACAAGGACAGGTGTTGCTTACTCCGCCTGAGGCATGCTCTCCACCTCTTCACTCAACGCCCTCCAATTATCCGCCTGCAGCTCCGCATACTTGACACGTTCCTGCGCCCACTCTTGGTGCAGTCTACTAACATGGTATTGCGACTTTTGGAAGAAGAGCAGTTCGTCGCGGATGCATTCTTGGATGAAGACGCCGCGGGCGTGTTGTTGGACGATGGATTCCTTGTCCTAGTATCACGCGTTAGAAGACCATCTCATTGTACATGGTGAATTGGGGACTAACCTTGAAAATGGCATCCTCCACCTTCTCCGCCTCACCGGGCTTGATCTGCTCGGCGGGCTTCTGGCGGATGTTGTGGAGTTTGCTTTCGTTATTTGCGATGCGCTTTTCCAGTTGGGGGATATTGTCGCGGGCATACTTGTCTCGGCGGTCGAACATGTCGCGTACGCTGACTAGAGTGTCTCTCTGTCTCTTCAGGTCTTCGAGAACGCCTTCTTCCCATCCTCTTGCTTCGTCTTCTAGCAATTGTCTGCTGGAATCGAGGTGCCGTGCTGTAGCATTCATGCCCTCGTTCAGCAATGGCACGTCGTTTGTGTCCACGGCGTACGTTTCTTGACTTGACTCTGTGAGTCCGCTGAGAGCGGAGGAGAAGCGTGCGTATTCTGCTGCCATTCCTTCGTTTCGGCGGGAGAGGCGCTCCATCATGCTGCAGAGGGTGATGTAGGTTTCTGCGCTGCGTCGGACACCGGATCGGACGGTATCAAAGAGCTCAGGGAGGGTCTTCGGGAGGGAGTCTTCGAGATCCGGGGGCAGGGGTTTGCCGGTGAATTCTTCCTGAACGGATAGGTTGGCTTGTTTGCGCCATACTGCGAGTTCCTGTTTTGATTAATACATATTGGACAGTCCTCAAACTAGTCAAACATACCGTAGGTACTGTCAGGAACATGACTACCAATTGCTCCTGGTTCAGAACTGGATGCCGTACGAGCGCGTTGGTGAAGCGCGCAAGACCCTTTCTTCGCTTTTCGAGGAAAGTGGCATCTGCAGCTATTGGATTGCCGTTGACTAAGAAATCTCAATACGTATCAAGGCCATAGCAGGAGGGGTACTTACTACCGACCCTCTTCGGGGGCAACAATGGCAATTGTCTAAAAGGATACCGCTTATGCAGACAGTCCAACAGCCAGACGAAATCACTGTATCGGCGGACGACCTTTGTGGTACGTTTCGAACTGGCGACTTCGTAGTTGCGGTGCTGGAACATGAACATGCCCTCTTTCTCTGAGAGCGCAGTAATGGTTATAACCTCTTCGTTCCCACTGCCGCCTGGATTCAGTCGTCCGATGGATCTGCCCAACTCTGGTGTCGCATTGGAGCCGCTCTCTCCTGCTGCGGGTGCGCCAAACCCATCTTCTCCCAAGCCAGGGGCAGAAAATGGTTGGCTCGCTCCGCCATTGTATCCGCCCCAGCCACCTTCACTGCTCAAAGAACTTGGCTGGACGGGCTGCGGGATGTTGGAAGAGGCCGCGGTCGATTGTGTTGTGAATTGACTCGTCGTTCGTGCGGTTGGGGGTAGGCTCGAGCCGTTGGTGTGCGGTTGCGAGCTGGTATAGCTCGCGTGGCTGTGGCCTCTGTGCAGGTCGGGGCTGCCCCAAGGATCCGCCTCTGGGTCGCCGAAGGATTGCTTGCGCATAGGCGCACTCGACTTGTTTGCAGGCGACGGTTGCTGCGCAGAAGGCTGGCGTTGCGGCGCGGGAGGAGTCGGGGGCTGGGCTTGTTGGGGAGGAGGTGATGGTTCGCGGGCCTTGGTGGACTGCGGCAGCGTCACAGTTGGGACGGGAAGATCTGGCAGGGCGTCAATGTCGTTCTGTAGTGGCACGCGCGACAATGCTAACACTCACTCCTTTTCCTCTCGTCGACGCTGTCTAGGGTGATGTCCTCATGCTCTTGCGCCAACCCAATCAGGGCGAAGACGACATTGAACTCGTTCCTGCCCAGTTCGGCGCTGCCACCAGACGGTAGTACAATCTCGAGTATCTTGGTCTGCGCGTGACCGGGAATGTCGCTCTCGGCCAGTAGCTTCTTGACACCCTCCACGCTGACCCCATTGCCTTCGCGGTTCCCAGCCTCTAGCAGTGCGTCGAAAGCGTCAATGTACGAGTCGGGCACGTCGGAAGCAGGAAGCAGCGACTTGACGAGAGCTTCGCGTCCGGCTTTCTTGGGCGTGGGGAAGCCCCAGGGCGAGTCGTTGGCGTCCAGGTCGTCTGCGAACAAGCTGTTGCCCGTCTTGCCCGCGGGCTTGGGATCGTCATCGAAGAGCGACGACGACTGCTTCGCGCGCTGCGGCGGGTCATCGTCACCGAATAAAGACATTGTCGCTTGCAGAAGATGCGCAGCCGACTAATTATTTCCAAACTGCACGTCGTCGATGGACAGAGCTGCAGGGCCAGAGCTCAGACTGAGGTGCTACACGCGATGATAACATGGAGCTATGATGCGGCGGTGCAAGGAACCGGGCTCCACTAACGCCCGTCCCATGCCCTACCAGATCGTCACAGCCTTATCAATGCCTTGGCGCAGTCTGCTTGACATTGGACAAGTATAAAGGTACCAATTACTGACAAGTGCAAACATATGATTTACTGATTTATTGATATTTTGCTGTACATGCTATAGCGCTTAATAGATCGCAGCATCCACCGCTCCACCTATCGTCGCAGGCTTGCGCCATTCCACCTAAATCAAAGAGCCTGACCTTATGGCCGGCGGGTATCCATCCCTCATACAAACACCAAAGATTTTTTAAGTTCCAATTGCGCCATTCCATGCCAATGCTGTGTGGAGTCTCCACTATCCTCAATCCATGCCACCAATGCGCCATTCAATGTGGGGGTATATACGTGCTATCAACGTTCGAAATATAAACAGAAACATGCGAGAGAAGATGGTGCGTCGACAAACTACCTGTCGTGATCTGTCCGAGTGTGGTTTTCGGGCCTGCTAAAGTCGATGGTTGATGTCGACTCGTCTATTGGCAACGGTGAACTCGGTGCAGATGGCGGTTGTCGCATCTCTGTCCCGAGACCACCAGTGTTGTGTTGGCGACCAATCGGGGCTGCCGGCGAGAACCGGATGCGGGGAGTGCGTGTTGAGTTTGGCGAGGCCGACAGGTTGACGACCTCGCTTGAATTAGTCCCTCCATGAGATTGATCTTGTTCGCTCGGAGTTGGCGCACTCGCTTGCTGCGTACCCGCACTGGCAGAAGACTCGTCCTGTTGAGCTTGTTGCTGCTGGCGGATGATGTCTGGAGACCAGGTTTGACCCCGAGGTTGTGCAGGAATGATCGTGACTGGTAGAGTCGTGTCGTGCTGTGACCCAGGCTTCTTCTTCGACCTGAGCTTTTCGCCTTGCTGTGCAGCAAAGGTGCCCAGCCGATCGGCTAGAGCTAGCCCGTTGTAGTTGCGAGGGGGTATGTTGGCTGCGACGTCGTCAACCGCGAGTGGTTCGATGACCTGGCCTCTCTGCAGTTCCTTTGGCGGGGTTCGTCCTTTTCGTCGGAATGGGTTTCCTAGCGCTTGCCATTGAAATCTACTCCTGCTGGTGACTGGTTCCAGTTCTCCTCCCTTTTCAGGATCCTCAGGATCAGCTGGTTGAGCCTGAGGTTCTTGTGGCGAGTCTTGTGTTTGTGGTTGTGCTTCACGGTTTCCTGGTCGGTCATCTGTCGGTGCGTGCCGTGAATTGACAGGTGTGTCGCTGATGGGATGATAGCGGACTGTATATACAGTCGAGTCAGCACTGGTGGTGTCTGTTCTGCTAACCGGTGATGCAATGACTGGTACCGGAGGCGGAGTCTGCACCCGTACATAGGCCCGCGAGTTGCGGTCTCCACGTGTAGCTGATGCTGACCTTCGCACCACCGGAGGTGGTGCAGGGATGTGGATGGTGCGCTTCTTTCGTGCTTCTGCTCGTGGCGATTCGGTCATCTTGCGTCCGAACCTTTGGGCAAGATCATTGAAGCGTCCGGCATGTGCTGATGTGAACGCGCCGAAGCCGCCAGAGCCTCCTCCACTTTTCTTGTCATCTTTTTCTGATAGCTGGCCCTTGCGTTTTGAAGGCCATTTGGAGTCGGATGGGGTGTTGTCGAGCATATCGTCTCCATCGTATATTTCTCTCCCCAAGATTCCGTCTTTTCTCTCTTCTCTTTCTAGTGCTTCGATGCGCTCCACCCACTCCCAAACGATGACACTGGCAGCGGCAGCCCCTACCCAGCGGAAGTAGTCTCCCCATCCGGCAATGGTGTAGTTGGCGATATCGGTAATGAAAAATACGACGGGTGTGAGAATGGCGATGATAGATAGCAGGGAAACGACACTCATGTTCCACATCATGGAGTGGTAGAAGGCGTATCGTCTCTTGGTAATGGCGTAGTACATAACCCAGGCGGCGTAGAGCATGCTGAGTGATAGTTGGAACAAGTAGCTGAGGGCGGGGATCGCGGTGTCGAAATGTGCGGGGCGGCGTTGGTTCTCGTAGGGGCCGAAGCTGTTGAGACAGCTGAATGCAATGTCGAGCAGGATGAGCGCAAATCCGACCCATTTGATGATGACCTTCTCTTTGTGGCGCGGAAAAAGGCGTATCAAAGTCTGTACCTGTGCGAGCCAGAGGAAAATGTCGGAAACAACGCGCGAAACCTTGATTTCCATGCCAGCTACGACCTGGTCACGCAGCTCCATGGCATCGATGAAGCCCTCCTCGTACTGGCGTTCGGCGATCTTGAACGTGTCGGCAGTGGCGAGCGTCAGGGAAATAGCGACGGTCAGGGCCGCAGCCTTCTGCAGCCATGGCCGGCTTCCAACTCCTATGATTGATCCGCTTCCTGTTGCGCCGCTGATCATACCGCGTCGTCCCATGAGCCCTGAGCGTCCCGAAGCGTTGCCGACGAAGAAAGTGCGTGGTGTGATGATGAGCATGATGACGAGCATCCAGGCGATGACGGTCGCGGCGCCTGTCGCGTAGGCCTGGGGCGTGATGGAAGCGTGGAAGGGGTCGCGCATGTCGGCGACGCTGGTGATTCCCCCTGTGCCGTCGTCGATGCTGCCCTGTTGGGTGGCCGTGTTGGTGCATAGCGGGCGGAAGACGGCATTCTGGTCGAGCGTGATGGTGTTGCCGGGCGAAATTTCGATGGTACCATAGGCAGGCAGCTTGTACGAGGGACAGTGCTGGTATCGGTCGTCAGTCGCGTGCGTGGAGGGCGTCGCCGTCGTGATACTCACGTAGGGTCGGGTGGCATCGGGCGCGCGACGGTCCAGGAGAGGCGCTCCATGCCGCCAGGACTCGGCCTCCCACATGCTCGGTCGGCGTCTATACTGGTCCAGCAGCAGTTCGTGTCCGGTAGAAGAAGCCCATGGAGATTCAGACGAGCGTCATGGCCTGTGTGTGGTGTTGAGGTCGAGGGTCGCCGTCGTGGGTTAAGCGTCAAGGCCAAGTGGGAGGTGTCTGGGCGAAGCTTGAGGGAATGCAGGCGGTCCCGGTGGCACATGCCGTTCCAGACTGCCACTGCCCGCCGCTGATTGGCGCGTCTTTCGGCCCTACCAAACAGAAACTACGCTGGCCCTCAGCTGCACCGCGGAGCCCCCAGTCACTCCGCAGCCCGAAACGTCGCAGACTGAAGCCCTTGAGTGGGCCGCGTGTGCAACTCCAAACTGCTTCACGCGCGCTCTGGACTTTTCGCGCCTGCATCGTTCGCGAACACTATGTAGCCTCCTGAGATGGAGTTTTATCGGCGCATGAACCAATCTCGTCGGCGCAGGGTGGCAGGGAGCGAGCAACCTCGGATCATATCGGGGAGACATGGGGGACCCTCTTTTCGCGACTGGGGAAGCTGGATGCCTTCCCCAGCACTGACAGCAAAACCTAACCACCTGGCAGCTACTGCACCCGCCAAACCGATATGTTCATGCGACGACGAACTGCAAGAAATATGGTTTGACTGTTCCCAGCTCACGCTTCAAACGACAGCTTGGGGCTAAGATTCACTACTGCTACTGCGTCCATCCCAGCCTAGGGCTGAGGCTCACAGATGGCGTGATCTGGGTGACAGCTGCACCATGACTGAAGCCCAGTCCGCACAACAACAGCGATATTCTTAGTTCAACGTCGACTACATCCCAAAACCGGATTCTACACCCTTGCAATGCACCAGTGAACAAATCATTGCGACCCAGTGGTCTGTATACCAGCCGTCGTAGCCAGGTGTCGTCCGAAAAACACTTCATGTCTACCACGTGCATGCACTTCGCTTAGCGAAAGTGAGCGCATTCAGTTCATTCGACATACGAATCGAGCTGTCTCGATCTGTTCAACCTTGGAGAACACCAACCTTAAGAGGTAATCGGGACAAGCTGCTTCGTGCGGATGAACATCCGGGAAAGCTTGAACACGCCCACGTTCTGGCCATGCGCGTCTAGAACCGCCAACACAGTTCAGCCTGGTCTGACGCGCTTGATCCTTCCGTGAACACCTCTGCAGCTGTTCGCCAAGGGACACTACATGCTGCCGTTATCCGATCCTGACGCCGCTCGATAGCCTGCAGTCAGTGTCGCGCAACATGGCGAACCTGTGGAACGTGCTGTCAGCCGAACTCTCTTGTCAGCTCTCCCCACTCGTGACATATTGAGGTTATGCATGCAATGATCAGGCGTTATCGAGACCATGAGCTGCAGAGGTGAGGGCTGTAATTTGACGGAATGATGCTCACATCGCAACCCAAACATGGGCTTTGATGAGCGCATTCGACATCAAGTAAGGTGATTTCTCTGCTTAAAGCACAAATTGCTCCGGTGACATCTCTGATCTCTATGTCTTCCTGCTCTCCTGCCTTTCGTACTTTGGATATCAATCATCCAGTCTGGTGACTTATGTGCAGCAGAGCTTTTCTATGGGCAATGACTTCCCTCGTGTGAACGCGGGCTGTAGTAAAATTTTGGTGCCCTGAAGCTCACCAAGCGAAGAGATCTTCTCATTTGAAAAGACTGTGCGGGTTCGTAACATTGCCTGCTACAATATCTTGTGATGACGAAGGCGGGTGGATTTGTACTTGAAGGTGGAGATTATTTATCGTAATGCACATTCCAATACCAGTCATGTATGTGAAGTCATATTCAATGCAGCGAATGCGTTGTCACATAAGAGTGTGTGAATCTAGTTGGTGTGCTGGGTATAAGTACCCCTTGACACAGCCATCCTTGCGTTGCTTCTTTAGAACACGCACTATACTATCGACAACTACATGTACCTTTCGCTGTTACAATTTACTTATCACTCCAATCACTATTCGCCTGGAGCGAGTATCGAAATAGAAGCCAACCACCTTTACTCAAACCAGGCACAACAACAAAGCGGCTATCCCAACGTTACTTAGCTACATTACGCCTAATAACCCACCAATACCCCAGATCGTTGATATAACACCCGCCCACGCAGAGAGAGAGATCTTCAAGCCCTCTAGAATACGATTTACGACCCAAAGTTGGCTCCAAAGAGCAAGATCGAGATGAAGATATACCGCCAAGGGCTCAAAGCCTTGGAAGCACTGCGGGCCGGAGAACCAGAACCCAGTTTCAAGAAGAAGCGGCTTCCGCCCCCAGACGATGGAAAGGGCCTGCCATCTGCATGTATAAGAAAGGGTACTGTGGCGAAGAGAGAAGCAAAAGAGGCTTCTTGGGAGACCACCTTGGGACGAGAGAATAAAGGCTGAGCGTCTTGAACATAGAGAGGCGCAGGCACAAAAGAATTTTCAAGCCATCAATAGCGCTCAATTCAGAGCCGAGATGAAGAGATGTGACCATGCCAGCAGTGTTGGAGCTAGGAGCATGCCGGAAACCTATTTCAGGAAGGGTTGCCCAGTGGCTGCGAAACTGGGGGAGATGTTGAAGCCACAACAACCATATGGGGGGCCGAAAATTTCGACTAGAACGCAGCGAAGTGAGATTCCTCTACCGCCAGTGGCTGATGTACCGGCTCGCAGATCAAGCCTTCGCGGGAAGTCGAAGGCCAACAAGAAAGCGCACAAGAACCCGCCGCAGCTAGAGGTAAAGCCAAAGGTACTCACTGGGAAGGAACTGCACGACAAATTGACGAATCCCTTTGTCAAAATCCCGACTTGTAGCATGAGTTTCCACGGTCAATCGCAAATGGACAGAACGGGCGTTTTGCTTCAAACCTATAGCCCAGGTCCAAAAGCTAAGGACAAGGACACAGAGATAATGGAGCTTTTACAAGCCGCTAGGAGAGAGGAGGAAGCTTCGGTGAGAAAGATTGAAGCATCTTTTGTAGAGCAGGACGAAAGATATGCAGTGAGGTGCAAAAGAGACAACCTCAGTGACCAGACCGAATTACGATCAGACCGCAGTCTGAGTCAAAGGCGCACTCTATCGTTTTTGAAAAAGAGATAAATTGGAGAATTCACAGCACTATACTAGACTGCAGCTAGGCAGGATTGGCAGGATTTCAAGGAGAGTTGGTTCCGAATGAGATGCGGTAAGTAGGCTAAGCTAGACAAAGAGGATTTATATATCGAATTAATGGGGTGCTTCCGACGAGAAACCAAATCTGACAGTCGATTGGCGAGTGCGGTGACATTGACTAGTTACGACACTTCTGCTAAGCACCAAGATTAATGGAACAAGCATGAAATCAAACCAGCTAGAATCATGTCTCACCAAAGAGATGTTAGGGCAAATGCGCATTTCGTAAGGCTGTTGGTCGTTGTTTAACAAATGATTGTGTTACAGGTTTGTTCTATGCCTTAAAGCACCTTAAACAAGAAAAAAACCAAACAGCTCTGTAGATTACACTAGGATAAAAACAGGCAAAGTAGGTAACCTAACATCGATGTAGGCTCTAGGATGTTCTGTTTTTTCCTAGGTTGACGTAGAAGGTCCGGGTACACTTCTAAGGTTATGACGCTAGCGCACGTGCTCGCGCGCCTGCCTGAATCGCCGGGTCCTTGCAGATGCGCACTCTCTTTGTCGCCCCACCGTCATCGAAAGGAAGACGCATTTTTGCCGTTTGGAGCATTCTCTACAAAATTTTGGGCAATATAATAGTCGCGCAATTATTTCCGGGGATTTGCGACATTGGCAGATCTACAGCAACGTTTTCGCAACGCGATTGTCCGACGCGACGGCACTGCGCAAGCTAGAATCCGGGGCGACACAGTGAGAGACCCAGAGTGAAGTAGACTCCAAGATTGGACACGCCAAGATGGCACCCAAGAAGGCGCGCGATCGTAAACGGCAGACCAAAATCAACTTTTCACCTGCTTCTCAATCCTTACCTGCGACTAAATCGACTGCCGCCACGACTATGGGAACCTCGCCGTCGCGGCCGAACCTCACGGCTATGAGACCGACAAGACGAGCGCCTAGCAGAGTTTCCAACAAGAGCAACACCAACAAGCATGATTCTTCGAGCGAGGACGAGTTGGTAGTGGGAACAAACAAGGCGATGCGGTTGGGGATGCCAGTCGGGAGCACAGCGCGTGGTATGTTCGATGGGTCCAACAATGGCTCTGCCAGCTCAAAGACGGAGGAGGAGGACGAGGACGAAGTACAAGTGGGGCAACCGAAGTCGCGAAAGCGGAGACGAGCCGCGACGCCCAGCGAGTCTGAAGACGAGGAACCGACAGTCACAGTCATCCCACGCAAACGACAACGACGTGTAATCGAGATCGGATCTGATACCGCAGAGAAACCGAAAGATAAAAAGAAGGAAGAGAATAAGAAGAAGTCTTCAAAACCCAGCAAACGGCGAGAGAGGAAGGAGAGTACACCAGAGGAGGAAGAGTCACAGCCTGCACCTCGCAGCAGCCGAAGGAAGACTGCGAAGAAGGCCCCGACACCAGACGAAGATGACGATGAGGACGAACCTCTCACCCCTGTACCGAGCTCGAGGCGGAAAATCGCCCGCAGGCGTTCTCCATCCCTTGAGGAAGAAGAGGAGCAGAGCCCACCTCGAAGCACGAGGCGCAGACTGAAAAGGCGAAAGTCACTTTCAGAAGACGAGGAAGAGTCGTCAGCCACGACCCAACTTACAAATCGTGGGGATTCTGCGTCAGGCGATGAAGATGAAGATGAGGAAGAGGGTGAGGGAAGCGCAGACAACGACGAGGAAAACGAGGAGCAAGACGAATTGAAAGAGGAACTTGCGTTTCTGCGATCGTCTCCATTACCGGATCGCGGCAGACTAAGAAGCACACAAGGCAAGCCCAAAAACAAACGCCAGGAAGCTCTAGAGGCATTGAAAAGGCGACGTGCTGGTACCAATGAACCATCCTCTTCTGCGACACCTGGGCGCAAAAGAGCGGTTGTGGTGGAAACAGACTCTGAGTCTGAACTCGAGGTTATCAAGGAAGAGCCAGAGAGTGATCCTGAGATATTGGAACAGGATGACATCGAAGACGACGAGCAAGAGTCAGACCGCGATGCCAACGCCCTTGACATGTTCCAGGAAGACCAAGAAGATGAGCACTTCATCGACGACGACCCGGATAATGTACTCGGAGAACCATCTGTCAATGACGATCTCGATGAAATGCGTCTGGCGTTCAGTCTGTCGCGTGCGAAAACACGGGATTTGTTCAAGCACGCTGTCGAGTGGATGGTCATGAAGAAGATCCATCCAGGTTTCGATGCGGAAAAGAACGTCTACGTGCTGACTTTCCGCAAACTGGATGATGAAGTGAAGGGTCTCGCAGGTTCCAAGTACACATCCTCGGCCTGGACAGCAGACTTTACCAGAGCCATTCGTGCAAGACCGCTGCTCTTGATGAACGAACTCAGCGCTGCCGAAAGGGCCGTAATGTCACCACATTGCGAAGCCTGCAACCGAACCAACCATACCGCCAGCTTCGAGGTCCTCTTCCAAGGCCAACCCTACCACCCAGAGACACTGGAACCTCTCGCCAATGCCTCAGACTTTAGTTCAGACAGCGATAGCGACAGTGACTCCGCCTTGTCTGCCGACTCTGAAACTCAACTCAACGGCGAAAAGCCAACTTTCAACTACCAAGGAGACCGGATACCTCCAGAGTCCCACCGCTTCCCTCTGGGTTCAACCTGCAAAGCCAATGCCCAAGTTGCGCATACACTGTACCACTGGCGCTACAATCTCTACCAATGGGTCAAAGACTACCTGAAGGACGAGGGACATCTGACTGCAGAGAAGTTGGTCAAGCGAGATGGACGAAGTGATCGCAAGAGGGAAAAGGAGGCGAGAAAGATTGTGGATACCATGGAGGAGAACGGGCGCATCAGGCAACTCTACCACTCCTACAAGGATCAGCTTAGGGCAGCGGTGGAGGCAGATAATGATTATGCGAATGGATGGGGTAGGAGGGGTTGATGATTTGTGCGTCTGCTTCGACGGACAGAGCGGTACTAGTAGCCTGTATACCTTTGTTATTGACAAAGGAGCTGGCTTGTATATCAGCACATCATCTCAATCCATAACGAGCGTGGACATTGAAATGACAATGAAGAGAAGTCCAACGTATCAATTCGTAATTTTTGGGTATCATATGCTTCGTGACTTTTGTGTTCGAGCCTTCTTTCTCTCTCTACCTCAAAGCATCTCCTCTTCCTCCACAGGCGCCGGGATACTCTGCGAGATCTCAACATCCACCTCCTTGCCATCGCCCTTGACCTCATCACCTCCCTCGACTACTGCCTCTTCCTCATCCATATCCTCATCACTAACCCACTCCCTCTCCTTCCTCTTCTCCTCCGCCTCCAACTGCTCAAGCGCAACTTGCTTCTTCGTCTTCTTCGTGCCATCGCCATTGACATCTTCCCAGCCCTTAGCCCTATCCTTGATCTTCTGTTCTTTGCCCACACTCTTGATCCGCTTCTTCTCAAGTTTCTCCATGTTCTCCTCCGCACGCTCAAGGCCCTTTTGGTAACGTAACCGTTGTGCGCGGGTCATGTTTGTGCCTTTCTTCTGCTTCTTCTGGATGCCGGCATCTTTTGCGGCGAGGGCGTGGGGGTTTACTTTGGAGGGCCGCGATGGCGAGGCGGAGTCGCGGGTTGTGTGGGCGGGTTTTTGGGCGGCTTTGTCGAGGTTGAGGGAGGGGGAGACGGCGCGACGGGCGGCGCGGGAGTGGATGGTCACCGCTGTGTAGTTATTAGGAGTTATTCGTGAGGATGGTGCATTCATGGTACATACGGCGCTTCTTGACCTTTGCTGTCTTTGCCATTGTGTATTGGTTTCTTGTTGTCGCTACAGGATTCTGGTGGTATGAAGGGATTGAGTAAAGATGCGCGATTTAGTATGCTAATCGCGATACGTAGTGAACTTTTCTATGCAAACTCGTCTGCAGTCGAAAGAAGACTCAAATCGATCCAAAATCTCCAAAAGTCCCCACTAGCTCGTGAACGCGAACCCAAAATTCCGGATCCACTTGAGCCGCTAGCGCGCTCCCGCACCTTCCCCGATAACCCTTCAGAATCACAAGCCTCGCCCTTGCCCTAGATATTCACGCCGTTCCCGCCACCACCACCGCCGTCGCTCGTCTCGCCCCGACTGTCGCACCCAGTCTCTCTCCCATGTCGCAGACAAACACACCGCCGCGTTTGCTCTGTCTGACTACATCCATGCGCTGGCCCGAAGGTTGAAAGACCCACCATTTGCGCCTGCAAGCGTTACCCATACTCCTAGTTCAAAAGCCTTTCGCTACCGCCGCTCCCACAGCCTGCCTGTAGCAGCCTAGCGTTTCAAATTTATTTCTACCTTGCACCCAGCTATGAGCTACGCAGAGTACCCCGAATTCGAGGCCTATCAACAACGGTGGAACACAACCCAGTCGCATACCACTATCACGTCCGCTCTGCTAGGGGCTATCATCGGTCTGTACGTCCTCTTCAAAGCCTTGGATATACTCGGATTTCCCGTCTGGGATTTTATACAGCGCTTTCTCGAGATGGCGACCGACGTCCTACGCCTGCGCAGCGCCTCGTTCAGCTCAACAACCTCCAACACTAGCGACGACGACACCACACAACAGGGCGGCATGTTCGGTAGCCTCTTTGGCATGAGTCCGGGAAATCTACTACAAAAAGGGGTACGAGGTGTCGCAAATGCCTTCTCGCATGGCCCCAGCGACGTGCCGCCAGGCCTGGGCAATATCAGCAACTCTTGTTACCAGAACAGCGTTATCCAAGGCCTCGCCTCCCTTCCATCGCTACGCGACCACCTTTCCAAGACGACCTCCCAACACCCCGCGCTTACCTCCGAGAGCACAAATGGCGCTCTGTTCGATATCATCACTAAGCTTAACGACCCTGCGAATACGGGTCAGCATTTCTGGATACGTGGCAAGTTGAAGTCGATGAGCACTTTCGAGCAGCAGGACGCGCAGGAATATTATAGCAAGATTTTGGATGCGCTCGACGAGGAGGTCAAGAAGACTGCGAGCAGTAAGAGGCGATCGTCTGTCTCGTGGCTTGAAGTTACAAAGAGCCTCAGTGACTCTAAGGACCTGGATGAGAAAGCGCAAGACGGAACAAACAACGCATCGGACACGACGGAAACGTCACCTCAGATCCCATCGAACCCGCTCGAGGGACGCCTCGCCCAGCGCGTTGGCTGCACATCTTGCGGCTACTCTGAAGGTCTCACGCTCATACCGTTCAACTGCATCACCGTATCTCTTGGCAGGAACTACAACTACGACGTCCGTGAATGTTTAGACGAATATACCACTCTAGAATTCATCGATGGCGTCGAATGCGCAAAATGCACGCTGCTTAAGCTAGAGAAGACACTCGCGCCCCTAGTTGCTGGCAAGCCGGAATCGCCGCTGAAGGCAAGACTAGACGCTGTACAGGAAGCACTTGAAAAGGAGGACTTCGAAGATAAGACACTGCTGAAGACTCTGAACGTGCCAAAGAAGAATTGGGTGCAGAGCACAAAGTCGAAACAGGCAGTCGTTGCGCGAGCGCCCCAATCGTTAGTCCTTCACGTCAACCGAAGCAGCTTTAACGAGTATACTGGCATGCCATTCAAGAACACCGCAGGCGTCGCATATCCATCAGTATTGGATCTTGGGAATTGGTGCTTGGGTGGCATTCCTCATGGTTCACAAAAGCCCGCTGCATCGGAAGAGGAGTGGCCAAAGGATCCTAGACAGTCGATGCTAGCAAGGGATGAGCCCATGACAGACTCGCCCTTCCAATACCGACTGCGCGCCGCTGTCACGCACTACGGTTCGCATGGTAATGGTCACTACGTCTGCTACCGTTCGCACCCTAAACCTGCGCCTAAGCCCAAGAGCGATGAAGACGCCGAAGTGTCATCAACAAAAGACGATGAGGCCGAAGATGTTGCGATTGAGGGTTCACAAGAAGATCCATCGGCACCACAGCCAGAGCAGTGGTGGCGCTTCAGCGATGATAGCGTATATCCAGTATCTGAGGAAGAAGCGCACCAAGGCAACGTCTTTATGCTCTTTTACGAGCGCATCGACGAAAACACTCCTTCACCGCCAGACGCCAGGGTGGAATCTGTATCTGCAGCAGAAGAGGCACCTTTACCACCAGCTAATCTTCCCATCAACGGATCAACAGTCGTGGACGACGAAGCCACCAAGGTCGCCCTACCTGAAGACGACGACGACGATCTCTTCGACCACCTCCCCACCCCAACACACCCACCTCCCGCTCTCGATCCTCCCCCATCCGCATCTCCAGCCCCAGAACCAGCCTCCCCCTCCCTCACAATCAGTACCCCCACCGAACCCACCCACCCAATCATTCAACACGACCCCGAAACTGAAGTCAGCGATGCAGAATCCGAAGACGCGCCTTCTACCCAACTCACCTCGGATTACGAGTCCGAAACTGATGTTTCGACCCCGCCGAAATCTACGCCCGTGCAAAAAGTCAGTCCGCATCTCATGCGTACGGCGGGGAATGCGTCGAGTAGAGGGGACAGCGGGAGGCAGAGCTTGCCGTTGGTGTCGGCTACGTAGTTTGTCAGCGGCGCGAAACGGATCAAGCTTGAGGGTGGGTGGTGTGGTGTTTTGTAGCTTAGGGATGGTAGTGGGGAGCGGCGTGTAGTGCTGGCGCGTGACGAGAGCGGGAGTGTTGTGTTTCAATGGGATTTGGCGTTGACGTTACCTGTTTGCCCGACAGGGTCAGGTTGGTGTTGTTGACTTGTCTTTTCGTGTGAGTATTGTATAGCTAGTTTCTTGAGGTAATCGCTATTCTTGGGTTTCATGCCATCAATTTTTCAAAAGTAGTACTTTCGGTATTCTTGAATGTGTTGTGTGATAGTAGTATTCTCAGTCGAGCTATCTACGTACTCATCTATACCAATATCCCGTACTTCGCTCCCAAAAATGCAATGTCAAAACGCTCCCATACATCGTGCATCTACATACATTACACATCAATCAAATCTTTGTCTCACCCCTGAGAACCCTGCATCACAACATCGCCATCCCCATCATCAACTCCTTCCTGTGTCCCCGCCAGACTCGCCGTGCCGTCTTCCCCACTCTCTTCGTTCCAATTCTCGCCTCTCCAGCCTAAGCCCGCCCACTCCCTACCGGCGGTGCGCATGACAGCGTCGAAGTCTACATCGGCATCAAACCACCTATCCTTCCTCTTTGTTTCCCTAACGCCTCCTTCGAGTGCTACACGACTTGCGCGCGTGGTTCTACCTCTTTTGCCTCCTATCCCACCAGCACTGGTCAGTAAGCTTGACACGCGGACACGTTGTTCTTCGAGGATCTGCTCGTGGGCTACGATGCTGCGGACGTAGGGTGCTAGGTCGAGCGTGATGATGCTGAATGTGCGGTCGAATGAGGATGGCGTGAGAGTAAATGAAGTACGCTCGGGCATGAGTTGGTCGGGTGGTGCGGCGAGAGGGTCGAGGGCTCCTGCAAAGTCAAGCCGTGTGAGAGTCGTTTCCGTGTTTCGGTTTCTGCGATGCTGGAGTATAGCTTTTGCGTAGTCGGTTTCTGTGTGTAGATAGGAGGTTGTTGATAGGCTGTGGCTTTGGGAAAGGTCCGGGTATGTACGCTGGATAAGAAGATGCGTTTGTGTGAAGAAGGCGGTATCGAGATTCAAGAAGTCTGAGCTATGATCGACTTGAAGGAGGGGTGCGGCAAGCGTGTAGCTAAGGCGTGCTTTGTCGGTGATCGGTGGCTGCGAAGAGTCGGTGGGCTGGTCAGAGTTGGACTCATATGTCGGTAGGTCGACCCGACAGAACACGTCGGCGGCACTAAGTGACTCGGAGTAATCCTCCAGACGCGTGAGCTCTCTCAGTTGGCCAGCCCAATCAGTGTTGGGTATTCCAGACGACTGTGTACCGGTTGCTTGAGGGACTCCCCACGCCGACGGGTTGATACCCCAATCAGCCCACACTTCCTGCAAAAGCTCTTCTTCCTTATCGAACACAGGGTTCGACTGTGTTTCGAAGACGTTGTGTGATAGCCAACCCATGCCAGATGTGTATGTGCCTTCACTGGCAACTCTCAATATCTGACCGTGTTCGTCCAAGTCTTTCCCAGGTGGCCAACGCTGGTACATCCACTCAAGACCTCCCTTCCTATCGCCTACGGACATCTGGCACCAGAAGTCGAGTTCCATGATACTAGCTCGGAGGTCGTGGTCCTTCGATTCATACATTTCCTTCACAGTCTGCCGCTCCAAGATGTGACCTTCCCTGCCAGCAAGAACAAGCAAGTAATCCGTAGCCAATTCCACTGGAGGGGGCGATAGCCGAAGAACAGCTGCAAGGGGCAAGTCTTGCATGGGTATCTGTCGCTCATCGTTGCAGGTGATGACGATGGGACGCTTGGACAAAGAGGCAATCTTGATAACTTGCGCCCAGAACTGCTGGTCCTCCTCGAACAGTATATCAGCCTCTTCGATGAGGATCAGCGATTGCTTCTGCGAGTTGCGCGAGGCTTGTGCCATGGGCAGTGTAGCCTGAGCTGCGAGTGCTGGGCCTTTGCTGACTTCTGGTGTCTTTGCCTTGACTCTCGGTTTGACCGCTCCGGCTCCGGGCTTGACTTGAAAAAAGGATGTCATTGTCCCCTGTCGGCCACTGCTGATGTCCTCTTCCAAAGCAGTGTCTATATCGGCATCATTCGCGTCGTCGACCGCTTGAGCAGTCTCTTGTACAGACGGTGCGTTGCGTTTATGATTTACGAGGTGGTTCCCGGTCATATCACCGACCTTGTCTTGTATGTCCTTTCCTGAACGGCGCATACCGGCGTGAATCTCGAATACTTCGAAGCCCATTTCCTTTGCGACAGCATGCACTGTCGCGCTTTTCCCGCAGCCGTGAGGACCGCTGATGAGTACGACGTTCTTGTTACGCGTCCACTGCGGTTGCCTGTAAGAT